AAACACTTATAAGCTAATACGAATATTAATAATAGACCAGAAAGACCGCTTGATGTTCTCCATATAAAAAATATAAAATACCTTTGCAAACTTAAATGTCTGAAAATGACGTCGATAATTTTTGTTGTTGTTTAAATTCGTTTTATTTTAGCAACTCGCAGCGTTCAACAACAATGCGAACTGCGAAAATTGAAACATTGCCAACAATTTCACTATCACCGCGTGACCCTTGAAATATGTATATGAATTTTAAATGAATGCTTATCTAAAATGAATATTTTTATAACTTATCTTATTATGCATATTTCGCTATGTGCACGTTAGCTTAATTGAGGCAACAACAGCGCATGTTTAACCTTTCCGTTAGCATCCTTTTATTGAGCACTAAACTTAACTTAAAATGCAAACACTCAACGAAAGGCTTATTATGTCATTTAACTAAATTTAGCTTTTAAACGCACACAGCACACATACGTGCCCATACGTTACGCTCAGAGCTCTCTGACAAAATGCGCTCTCACTCTCTATATTTTTTGTCGCACGCTTTTAATTGCTTCTGTCATGCCCCAATCCTTACTTGCTTAAGCCAAATCATATTTATGTTGACCAGTTGTTGCTCATAAATGAGCCGGCAAAGTAAACAATGAAAAGAACCGACAGCTTCTGCATGTGTGCTCGCCTGAAACAGAGCGCGCGATTGAAAGAGGAAGACCCACAGAGAGAGAGAGAGTGAGAGCGAGAGAATTGACAAACAGCTGACGCCATATAAAACAAGGCGTCCACTGAGGCGAAATTTAAATTATTGCAACAGTTATCTATATTGAGCGACGCGAGCCGGACAAGCAACTGCTTTGCCAATTTGCCGATTTGTATTGTTTGCTCATTACTTAAATTAAAACGAAACGAAACGATTTCCAAGCAAACGAATAAAACGCACGGTTAAACTTAGGAAAACTGCACGATACAAAACCAAACTCAAATACTTAAATTCAATATCAAGGTCAGCAGCTTGCAAAAGCATTTATATTGCATTTAAAGTTTTTCTGTTTTGTCATTGACACATGACGAAAATGAAATAAAATGCTCTCAGCATATTTTTCCGGTCGACACAGTTTAAACTTTTAACCCGTCTCAGATAAAGCGCATGAACTGGTTCAACTTGTCGAAGGACAAGTTCAAAAACTCCAAGCGGAACATGATTCAAGATGTAAAGTTGCGATTTATTGTGTTTGAATACGCTACACTGTGAGAAATGCGAGCAATGTCAATCAAATTCTTTGATAGACGCTGTATACGTTTTGGTAATTCTTGCAAGACAAATCGTACCCCTGTAAATACAATGACTTATTTCTGTGAGTGTGGGATTCAATTGTGTAGCGTAGTGTAAACGTGAAACGTGTAAACGTCACAATTCTATTTGTTTTGCTGCTGTCATTTGTGTATTTGTCTGCCAAAAATTATTAAAAATTTCATTTGTTTTGCAAATTTTCATTAACATCCTGTCGAATTGTTAGTGATAAGAAAATTATATAACAGACAGCAGAGGGTCTAAAATGGCACGCTTCATCGAATAAACCAGCGCCTGTGCTTGAGCACTTTGCCGTTGAAGGGGGAGCAGCTCGTTGTCGCGTCTTATTTATTTTATTTATTTTTTTTTTTTTTGTATTGATTCACTGAGCCGTAAACATCGTCCCAATAAATAACCACCAGAGGGGCGACCCGGCCCGTGTGCATGCAATATTTCGTTAACATTTATGATAAACCTTGAAAAAAGCTTTGCCTTACACTGATCTCTGCTTGTAGTTTGACACGTAAGCTGCCATCAAGCGAACCCGCAAAGGAAGAGTAAATCAATAACAAACACACAAACCATCAAACAAAAACACAAACAAATACAGAATGTTGCGCAATACGCCTTTTGCCGGCACGCCCACCTACAAACTGCTACTGGGCTTCGGTCTCTGTTCACTGGGCAGCGCCATGCTCTATGCCTACTTCAAGACGCGCAATGACGACAAGGAGGAGGAGGAGGAGGCGGCGGGCAACAAGCGTAGGACGAATGAAGAAAGGCAACAACAGCGACAGAAGCAACAGCAGAAGGAAATCTGCCTGAAGATTGTTGTGGACAATGACCATGTGCCGTTGATAATTGGACGCGGCGGCGCCAACATTAAACTAATTGAAGAAAAGACTGGGGCAAAGATAAGATTACGGTAAATATTTAATCTCCGGTTTGAAAGGAACACATAATGAAAGGAATGACACTTTCTATGTGCAGACTGAACTCTAAATCGTTAGTAATATAAAATATTTAACCACAGCGACAAGGACAACTCGCACAAATTCTGCGACATTAATGGCCTGCCAGATGCGGTCAAGGCGGCGCGTGTGATGCTTATCAAGGAGATTGAGCGTGCGCCCATAGTCAAAATGGAGCTGCAAGTGCCGCAGCGTCTGGCCAACAAGATCAATGGCCGTGGCGGCGAGATAATACAGGACATTAGTCGTGCTTCGTTGGCCAAGCTCAGCGTAGATCCAAATGGACGCAATGGCAAGGCCAAGATCAGCATCGTTGGCAACCAGAAACAGGTGAACATTGCCCGCAAGCTGCTGGACGATCAGATCGAGGAGGACGAACAATTGCGTATTGCTGTCGACGAGGTGGAGCAGCATCGCGAACCGCGACGTTCCCCCAGCTACAGTCTTACCTCTAGTATGTACTCATCGCAGACATCGCTCAGCTCCCAGCCGCCGCGAGACAAACTGCTGGCCGCCCGCGGCGATGACAAGCCCATGGAGGTGTACGTCTCGGCCGTTGCCTCTCCCACCAAGTTCTGGGTGCAGTTGGTGGGACCGCAGTCCAAGAAGCTGGACGACATGGTCAAGGAAATGACCAGCTACTACAGCAGTGCCGAGAATCGTGCTAAGCATCAGCTTACGACACCATATGTGGGTCAGATTGTGGCCGCCGTATTTAAGTTCGATGAGAAATGGTATCGCGCCGAGATCGTGGACATTATGCCTAATCAGTACAATCCGAATGAGATGGTCATTGATTTGTACTTTGTGGACTATGGTGACAGTGAATATATCTCGCCAGCGGATATTTGCGAGCTGCGCACCGATTTCCTAACACTCAGGTCAGCATATATACCATATACCAAATGCCATATATGATATTAAGTATGTATTTTAAAATATCTGCACCTTTAAAAACATCCAGATTTCAAGCAGTTGAATGTTTCTTGGCAAACGTAAAGTCAACTATTACAGATGAGCCGAATACCTGGCAAAAAGCATCAATATCCAAATTCGAGGAATTCACTGAGGGTATGTTGTAGTTGAATACCGAATTTAAAAGCCCTATTAATTTTAGTCTCTTTTTTCATAAACAGTTGCCCATTGGCGCAAGCTCATCGCTCGTGTTGTAACGTACAAGGAGCGTCCGAAGGTCACAAGTGCTGTCAACGCCGCCACAAGAGAGGGCACACCTCTGCCCGGCGTGGAGCTATTCGATCCCACTGAAGGCGGAGAGGTGAACATTGGCGATCTGCTGATAACACAGGGCTTTGCGCTGCCGTTGGATGATGCGTATCCAGTGCGTTCGCGTTCAAGCTCGCCGTCGACTCAAAGCGATTCAACCATTGAGGAGCTGGGTGCCGCAAATACACCACGTACGCCGCTTACGCCACACTCCCCTATGTCCATGTCAATTACGAATGACGTTGAAAGCGTGGAGGACGCGCACTTTGCCGACCAGTTGCACCATTTGGGGCACAAGCTCAATGGCAATGATTTAACAACCCATATCAACCCAGTCAAACTAACTGCAGATGACTTGCAAAATAGAAATGTGCAGGCCAACAATAGCTCACACGGTGATGTGAACCGCTAGAATGCATTCTGGCCTCCTAATTCTAAAAAGTTAGTCTAAGCTAAGGTCTCGCCTTATATATATATATATATATATATATGTATATATATATATATGTATGTTTTCTTAGTTCATTGGACACAAACTGTGAAAAGGCAGCTCCGTACTTCCTTCTTGACGTGTATATACTATTAAAAAGCGTAGTCTGTAAGTTATTTACATTTAGTTATTGAAGAAATTTCTTTAATTTATCGCCCGCCAATTGGCTGTTCAATTATGGACATATCATGCGTATGAACAAAACACAATATTTTCTAAGCCAATGCAAAACAGCAAAATACTTTATTTCTTGTTTATTTAGTAGATACGCCATGTTACTTAGGCCGAAGCCATACTCTCAGATAAATAAGTTTGTACTCGGCTATTTCATACAATGTACACTGGATTAAATATCATGCCAATCATAATCTATGGCAGCTTTGTTAGTTCAAGCTATGTAAAAATGATGTACATCAAACCCAAAATACAATTTACAAAAGATTGTTGCTTAAATCTATTGCAGTCTTAAGTGTGTGTTTAGTATAAGCTATATATAATATATATATATATATGTTTATATTAGATAAGAATATCATTGGTAGTGTTTATAGCGATTGGTGGCAGGTATATGGCTCGTATCTGGCTGCGCAGGCGTGCAATTTCCATGTCGTCACGCTCCATTTCCCGTATAAGCTGCGAGAACTGAACTAGACCCTCACGGTTGCCTGGAAAGCCGTGCACCTTGATCACCTCCAGCTGCAGCTGCATAACCAGAGGGAAAACGTGCTGCATCATAAGAATCATTTCTTTGCCAGCCGACGCTTTTGCTTCCGATAGTTTTTTCGAGTTCTCTGGCTGATTCACTGTACGTATTATGTCCATGAGTATTTGTTTTGCACTCTCATTGTTAAAACTGGCCAGGTAAGACATGTCTAACGTGTTATTCTTTTGTTGTTATTCAAAATCAACTGTGCAAACACAATTTTTCTAGCAACCATACGCCCACAGTCGCCTTGCTCTTTGACATTCACCTAAAAGTGGTCATTCACAATTCGGCGCAACAGCAGTGCTGCTAAATACCAAAAGTCAGTCAACAGCTGTTACTCTGTTCACAGTTCGAGTTAAATGCATCTTCAGCAGCAAAAGTGTATACGTTGACCTAAAAAAAACGTTCATAATTAGTATTGATGTTATTAACTTACAAATGCAGTGTCAATTGTGGTGTAAGAAATACTCCAACCGTGGCTTATGATTCAGTTCAGCGTGCGCGACGTTGATCAACACTAGACGAAAAATGTCACGTCGGAGAAACAGAAAAGACACAAAAAATATATTATAAAGCTCATTATGCGCAAGTATTTAAATAGATACAAAATAATATAAAAATATGCAATTGTATATTTAGTATCTGCTTTTAATTAATTCGAAAAAATTGTCAACGTAAATTGTAGAGTTTTAACAAAGTAGATAAACAACAACGAAGGCGACGTAGATTGTGGTGCATCTCTTAGTGCAAAAAAAAAAAAACAAGTGGAATAAGTGTGACAAAAGTACAAAAAAAAGTCGGCAGCATTTGCAGAACAATAATAATACAAAGTAACAACGCAGACGCACACACGTAAACACACACACACACACACGCAGACACAAAACACATCAGCAAAGCGGAGGCAGGTGGCAGCTCAGTCAACAATTGTGCCACACATACAAAAAAAAAAAAAAGAAAAAATCACTAAGAATTATAAACACAATGAATCGCAGCGACGGCTTGGTTAGGCGCGCTGTCAAGCCACGCGAGAACGGAGCCGAGGGCGGTGGCGCTGGTGGCCTGAATGCGAACACGCCGGATGACAATCAGGACGCGCTCGACAACAACAAGGATCAGGAGGATAACATTGATGATGGCGACTCAAAGGAGACACGACTTACGCTCATGGAGGAGGTGCTGCTGCTTGGCCTCAAGGATAAAGAGGTTCGTGCGTGCCTGCCAACTGATAAGCGGGCGGGGGCTTATCAGTTGCATACATATACCTGTTACCAATTATCGTTTGTCTTTAATTAGTATAACTTGTGTGTACATATGCCACACTGCTCTCAGTCTTATCTCTCTGGCACAGCAAAGTTTCAAACCGAAGCGCAACATTTTAATATGTAGCTTCCGTTATTGTTGTCTGTTTTGGCTACTTTTCGCTCTTTCCCTTATTCGCATTCAGCAGCCATCAGTTGGCTGCTCAGTAAAGCTTAACCCTTGTTGCCTGCCTATTGCTTGATGTTGGGTTACTTCAAGGGGGGCATTGACGCATTAACCATATTACCTATTACCTTTTGTTTTCGTTGGTATTGTGCAATAAACTTTAAAGCTCAAATGCTACGGCTGTTTTCAGTGTGCACAAACGTTGGAGAACGAGTTTGGCAGCCGTGCTGCTATCATAAATGTGCTTTGGTCTTCTTCGCCGTTGATCTTCTTGCGCCTTACAGTGTGGCAAAACGTATTTGTGTTTGTGTCAAGTGTGAAAGTTGTGATTGCCAAGTGGCATAATTGAAATTAAATTCCCGTGTACATCACAGCTTTTGATTAGCTATTCAATTGCCCAAATGCTTCAAGTAAACAAGATCTCTCGAGCAGGTAAAGCTCTCACTCTTATAGGTTTAAGACTCATATTCGAAGCCCTTGGATGCTGTGCGTATATTCAAAATTTTAAGCGAGCTTTAGCAGGTCTTTCACTCATTCGTAATTTGCATAATAACGTAATACTCATAAATTTCACACATGTTTGGTGATGCCTATGGCTCTATATTCCATACGTGCCCGTTTAGGGCATGCGAATAATTCTCATTTTGCGTTTGCTCGTGCAATCGCATATTGTATTTTATTTGCCTTTGTGCCTTTATCTAACTCTGTGCGTGTGAGTGAGTGTGTTTTGCTTCCAGACCCACGACACACCCCAACCCCCCACCCCCTCATCGTCATCAAGCAGTTGCCGCCTTGGTAGTCAAACGTGTCGCTTCCAGTTTTTATTTTTTTCCTCTGATCGTTTTCTTCAATTCTGGAATGGATTCGTTCTTCTGCTGGTTCCACGGCCCTGTTATCAGCACTATTTTTTCACTTAGCTAATTGTTCGAGGAAGTTGTAGCTGCCTTCCGTATGCCCCCTTTCCTGTTCATGTTTCTGAACTTATCGCACATTATGTCAACAACTAAATTGTTTCAGCTTCTCCCAAAAACGAACAAATGATATGAAGAACGAAGACAAAGTTGTGGCACTCGCTCACTCCGTGACTCATTCACGTGCGAGTATATATATATATATATGCATCATATCAAATCGAATTACTTTTTCCAGTTCTGTAGCCGCCACTTAAAAGCTGCGTAATACATTTCATTTCAGCTTAAACAATTTATTTGTTACAGACTCAACTGTTTAAACATGAAACAGTTGCCATCATCGCAGCAGCTGCAAAAGTCGAGAGTATTTTGGCCACATGACAACGTAGCCTACTTTCTACTCTGGATATGCATTTGACACAAATATGTTTTATCTTACATTCAATTGATATTTTGGAAAAGTCCTTATGAAGAACTTCTCCGGAAATAGGAACTAGGAAAACTTGTAATTCACATGTCTTTAACGTTTTATTTATATACTTTAATCAGGGTTACACATCCTTTTGGAATGATTGCATATCAAGCGGCTTGCGCGGTTGCATTCTCATAGAGCTGGGCCTGCGCGGACGTGTGATGATCGAGAAATCGGGCATGCGACGACGTGGTCTATGTACAAGGTGCCTAACTAAGGGTATTCCATCATAAGCACAACTAATCTGTCATTGTTGCAGAAAACTGATATTGAAATCGGATCAGCAGACGGGCGATGTTTTGTTGGATGAGGCGCTGAAACACATCAAGGAAACAGATCCGCCCGAGACGGTCCAAAGCTGGATCGAATATCTGAGCGGTGAGTGCTTTGCTTGGCAAGGCCTATATATAACACTTTTTGCTAAACTTCGATTCTTGCAGGCGAAACTTGGAATCCATTGAAGTTGCGATATCAACTGAAAAATGTACGCGAGCGTCTGGCCAAGAACCTCGTGGAGAAAGGTGTGCTTACAACGGAAAAGCAAAACTTTCTGCTCTTTGACATGACGACACATCCGCTCAGCGACAATGTGGTCAAGTGTCGTCTGGTCAAGAAGGTAACTCGGGCTACATGCCAAACACAAGTCCATGCATTCATACTTGTACTACTTGTATTACAGATTCAGGATTCGGTACTCTCGAAGTGGGTTAACGATCCGCAGCGAATGGACAAGCGAATGCTAGCACTTATCTTTCTGGCGCATGCCAGTGATGTCATCGAGAACGCGTTTGCCCCACTCAACGACGATGACTACGAGGTGGCCATGAAACGAGTGCGCGAGCTACTCGATCTCGACTTTGAAACGGAGGCGGCCAAGCCGAATGCGAATGAAATACTTTGGGCTGTGTTTATGGCGTTTACGAAATAGGGCGGTTGCCTAACTACACACTCCTCCCCAAATCCGGCGACACATTCAGTTAGCTGCACACACACACACACACACACACACACATGCATACCTACCTATACATACCCATTAAAACGTTGGCTACTTGATTTCTTGGCGAAACGGGTGATTGCAACACGCCCGCTATTCGAGTTTTCTTCAGCTAACTTTAAAATGACAGTGCGAAGCAAGAGCAGTCTATAGAAGCATCTATATATATGTATATGTATATGTATATATATATACATATCGCTGTAATAACTGATGAAAAATCATTCGTTTATTTCGTTTTTATTTCATTTCGCAATTAATTTATGTAAACGAAATGCTAGCTAATAGTTGAATTTTATAAACAATCGTATGCCGTATTATTCCATAAATTGTGTTCTGTGTAATTTGAAACTATTTCGGCATGCGAATAAACATTATATCAAAATTTCATCAGAGTCGTCGTTGCTTAAAAATTATAATAGTAACTAAGTTGTAAGCTGCAAAAAGAAAAAGATAAATTAAAAAACTAAATAATTTGAGCTGCGACAGGTTTTTTGTAATTATATAATATTAACACTAATTGTAAGAGCAAATTCTGATGCAACAACAAACATTTGTTTATAAACCTGCAAAATGTGTGTTTACCTATGTTCCAATTCTATTAAATTTAAAAAATATTCATTTGTATTATGTATAAACAATTTATCTACACACACACACACACACATACGCAGAGACAGTGATTTGAGAAAGGGAGAGAGTGAACATCATAGGCAATGTTTAATTAATTGTTATGAGTTTCGGGAACATTTAAATCGAAAACTTTTCTAAACTTACAAAACGAATGAAAAACAAAAACAATCTACAAATTTATGTAAATGTAAAATGTGCACGTCAAATAATAATAATTCTAGATATTTAAAGGCCTAAAATAAAATAAATACCTATATATATTTACCCTTCTATTAGAGGTATCTTTCATTAACTATGAAGGACCAAGTTAATCTTATCTTAATTGTCTAGAACTTAAGACTCTCAAGCAAATTTTAGCCTGAGATGGTGACTTGATTCCCTGCCTCAAGATTCTGTTCGTGAGCCTATCTATAATCCCACAACTTTTTTAATGAATTATTTGCTGTAACCGATCCACACACATATGATAAAATGGGCTCTGCATAGTTTTAAGACAGTAAAAGTAAATGTAAGTGTTTTTTAAGTGATATCAGATATTAGACAAACAGGTAGACAATTTTCGATAAAATTACTCGGACTATCTTTCACGAAACTAAGTAATATAATAAGTTGTTTCAGCAAGTTCACTAAAATATTAGAACATTGAAGTTCTTAATTGGTTAGGTTGAATAATATATTTATCAGAAAGTTGATTAAGCAGGATAATAATTTTCGGCCAGCTGAATACATTTTGCTAAATTATAAGTATATTTCAAATTACAAATATTCCTTTTAAAAGCAAGAAAAATTCGCTCGAAAATTGATTAAAATTCAAAGCGTGGAATATGAATTGGTCAAGCCCAATCTTCTTGATTTCAATTTTTCAAATAATTTCATTACCATATTTAGATTTCCGGGTTCAAGTATTGCAATTTTGCAACTAAAGAAAAGAAAAAAGGCAAAAACGATAAAAATTTGTTTTGATAAGGATTTTTATTTCATTTTCAATATATTTTTTGCACAGTTGGATTTTTTCGGGATTCTGGGAAAAGGGGTCGCAAATACCAAGTAAATTTATAATAATTCTCAGACGAAAGGTATTTATAGATAATAATAATAATCTGAATTACGATACACATATTACATTAAAGACAGTAAACAAAATATTGCATACAGGTTTTAAACACATGAAACAGTTTTTGAAATCATTTGTTTCCCTTCTAGAAACATTTGTATATTGATTGTAAATGAATTTGCTGTTACAAGTTAATATATTTGCTTTCTATGCAGTGTTTACAATCTACATATTTATCGAATCAGGCTTGCTTCATGGTATTGTTTTTAATTTGGGAGAATTTTTAATGTAGCTGATATTTTTAATTTAATTAAAAATATGAGCGAAACTTGAAAGGAAAATCAAAAGAAAAAAAAAAACAAAACTAATTTGTCTAATTGCAGTTGCTCATTTAACAAATGTTCATAGCGCAGAAATACACACATATATTGAATACTTTAGATTGATAGAAAAGAGAACATGCAAAATGTGGAAAGTATAATAAAAGTTAATGGAAGATTTGTAACTCGCGAAATGATGTCGCAGATATATGTTTATATATATGTATATATGTATGTATAATTGAAGTTTAATCTGCTCTATGCTATAAATATGTCAACACGCTCATTTAAACCGACGACTGTTCAGTGAGAGGCGACGCATGCGCGCCCGATTCTGCGAATAGCTTCTGGACCAGCGCTCGTCAGTTGCAATGCTGCTGACAGCCGGCGATTTGTACGTGTTGCCTACGTGCTAACTTAACAGGTCCTTGATCTCCTTGTGCATGTGGCAAAGGAAATCCACATAGCTAGCAGAGCCATCTGTGCCGCGATCCTCGATAAGAAAATGCCGAAATACGCTCTCCAGTTTATCGTTCTGCCGCACACATGTGACCTGCAATTATTATAGGTTGGTCAATATGTTTGTGAAGCATTAAATTAGATGTTCTTTAAACTTACCCGCATGTATCGAGTACGTTCGTCCATAATCTGATCGATGATATCTGTAATGCGTCGTGCCAGCGGCGTATCGGCGGTGATAGCGAAACGTTCGGCATTTACCTGCTGCGTGCATTGGACTCCGAAAACAGATTGCACAAATGTGGACGACAGGGACTGGCCCAGCCAGATGAAGAGATGGACACCGTTCTCCAGTATGTAAGCACCGTCCTCGGTGATCTTTTCATGTGTGCAGCGCACTGGCGTTGGTAGCGACGTCTCGTCAGGGTCCACATTGTGTATGGGAATGAAGCGTGGATATAAATAGTTGACGGACATATTCAAATCCATGGCCAGCACAAATTGTATGACATAGGAGCGATCATCCAGGGTCATATCAGATCCACCAGAGACGGCATCGTTCTTCAGCAAACACGATGAGTACAATGGCAATAGCTTGAGGCACTCGGGCAGTATCAGCTGGCCAGCTGATGTCGGAGATGTGCAGTGCTTGCGATAGCAGGCCAGAATCTGCGCCGATCGCTGTATGAGATTGTCCTTGACCTGTTTTGGCGAGTGCTCCATCAGCTTAAAGCACGCTTGCTTCGCAAAGAAAAGCATCATGGCGTCCAAGTCGCAGCTCTTGAACACATCTGCTATGGTTACGGTTACGCGCAGCGCCAAATTCAATATGCGCAGACGTCTCTGGCCACTGCACGATGTATACAACAACGCTACCTGAATATAGACGTTCTCTTCCGGCGGCAGCTTATCATCATGCTTGATCTCAATGCTCACCGACTTGGTTGCATCTGTAAAAAAATAAAATAGAATATGCAATTAACAATGACAGTCTCGCAAGCTCACAACTTACCAATGCTTGCCAGCTCCACGTCGGTGGTGTTAGTCATGTAGAAGTGGCCAAAGAACTCGGTGGGTCTAACGCCCGCAGAGGTTCGAACGCGCATCACTGCATCAAAAGCAATCGGACGCGATACGTTTTTAATGATGTCCTCAATAAGACGTTTGCCATCGAGTTCCGCTTGAAAGTATGTGTACTTATAAACCTCACCACCCGTCAGACGCGACACTTGGCCAATGGTGGCAATATCAATGTAGGCGTTATTGAACACAAACAGATCAACGGAGCAGCCTTGCTGCACACATTCCTGTCCAAGCTGATTGTACGCAGTCGTTTGCGGCGTCAGAACCGTCTTCTCCTTGTCTGTGCCAAGCAGTTTGCGATCATCACGGTTCTTGAGCTTGCCAGGCGCTTCGGCGATGGGCAGCGTTGAGTTGAATACCAAAAGCTTGCCAGAGGCATTGGATGCCTTCAGGGCTTCTAGACCAGCCTGTATAGCTGGATATAGTATAGTTTCTGTTTCCTTGGTGTCTACAAACATGCGCGGTATTTCCTCCATTAGTGCATCGATCACGGCCGCCGATTCCTCTGGATGGCAAAGGAAACCATCAAGTAGCGGCATAAACATTTCCTGCACATCGCCCACAACCATCATCTGAGGCTGCGCCAAGCTACTCTTGATATTGTAGAAGTGCACAGTGCTGTTGTAGGTTATGAAGCCGACGCGCACCTTCGACTTGTCCTGACCCTGGTCCACAGGCAAATGTTTGAGTATGTGCTTTATTTGCGAGCAAAGCAAATGCACTAAGCCAGATTTGATCGTATTGTACGAGACGTCTATGATGAAAATAAACGCCGGCACCTCAGGAGCCGTATTGTTCTATAGAATAAAAAGCAATTAAGATAACAGCTGGGAATAAACGAGTTCGTTAAACTTACGCGACAGTAATCCTTGGTAGCTAGAAACTCGTAAGTACCCAGAAGCAGCTCCGGTCGCTCATGCTTATCCACTCGCTGCCCGGTGTGGTCCAAGTGCTGATAGTAGTCCGGATGCACTATGGGAAAAATAATTAAAAATGAAATTTTATAACTGGTGTTTCCAATCTTTACCTTCCGTTGTGACCTTGCACATGAGGCACTGGAAACGTCGACCTGCATCCACGAATTGCATATTGGGCGACATGTAGGCCTTGCAACGATTGCACCGTATGGGACCCATGTCACCAAAATTCACTATTGGCGGCTCCATTTCACCCTGGCCAATGCGCGCCAGCGGTGAAATGTTGAGCGTTAGTGGCAGTGCCGTCGTCTTGAGCAGATCGCCCGTATTGGGTATACAGTAGAGAGAGGAGCGTATAAAGCGCGGCGAGGAATTGCCCTGATCGTGGACGACAAACTTCGTGGTCACCAGCGGCGGCAATAGGCCAGCCTGATTGGTCACAAATGGACCTCCAGCGGCTTGCTGATTTTCAATCATCACCTGTATGGGATTTGGCATTTGATCGGGATCTAGGCGACGCGGCGGTGCCTGTTGGTACATATTGCCAGCGCCCGGCATGGGTGGCTGCTAGTAAGAGCAGAAAATGTTATTGCGGCAATAGCATATGATCAAGTTATCATTTCCTTCTACTGTTTACAGGTACTTACATTGTAGCCAGGACGACCGGGTCCTGGTTGTCCCGGATAGGTGCCAGGCTGGGGCGGATAGCCGGGCATTGGCTGTTGTGGCTGTTGTCCAGGCTGGGGTGGATATCCGGGCATTGGCTGTGGCGGATAGCCAGGCATGGACGGCTGTTGCAACTGTTGCCCTGGTTGTGGCGGAAAGCCGACTGCTGGAGGCGGAGCTGCGCCAAATTGTTGAGGCTGTGGCGGCGCTGGCTGCTGACCTGGTAGCGGTGGTGCGCCTTGGAATGCAGCATTTGGTTGCCCGGCATAGCCGCCTGGATAGTTTCCAGGCGGTGGTACTCCATATGGGCCACCAGCCGCGGCCGGCTGAGGTGGCATGCCAGATTGCGCGAACGTGCCTGGAGCAGCGCTGCCGGGTGGCTGCAGCGGTTGACCAGGTCGTGGATAAGCTGGCTGAGCTGTTGGTGGTGGCGGCTGCGCAGCGGCGATGGATGTTGGTGGCAGCTGTTGTCCAGCTGGTTTTGGTGGTGGCATGTGTGGCAAACCCGCCAAATTGGCGCTGTTGAGTGTCATCTGGTTGATGCCGCTGGGCACACTTTGCGGCATAGGTGCAGGTGCCAATGCAGGCGGAACAGAAGTAGGCGCCGCTGATGTGGGTGGATACAGCGACGGCGGTGGCGCTGCTGCTCCTCCAGCTGCAGACACGGGAGGTGCCGGAGATGGAACTGTTGAGCCATTTGCATAGGCTGCCGCGTATGCATTGTTGTTATTGTTGAAGCTTAAGCCTGATCCGGCCGGAGGCAATGGCTGCGACGTTGGCGGCGCGTTCGAGTTAAACTGATTGTATGAGCCCGGCGGTGCAGCAGCTCCAACTCCAACCGAGGGCATAGGAAGCGACGGCTGTGCAGGCTTCAGAGGATTACCACTCACACTCAAGCCGCTCATCGACGTGGCCAACTGTGTGTAGGCAGCGACAGAGACAAAAAAAAAAAAAAGAGGGAGATAGAGTTATTCATAAGTACATGCAATACAGTTCAAATCGATTCAATTATGTGTGGACTCTTATCAGGCAGCTTCCATTATGAAACGTTTGCTGACCTCTTTACAGCATGAGGCTCAAGCACGACTTAAAAGTAATACTATCATCGACACACAAAGTTGATTACTCTTTGTGGCAGCAACGAAGCGATTCGAAATTGGGATGCTATAACATGTTCTCCGTTGTGCTTAAAAATCAGACTCAGAAGCTCACCTGCTGGTAGTTGCCATTCACATAGGGCTGCTGAGCGGACGTCACCGCAGCGCCATATTGTTGTTGTTGCTGAGGCTGCTGTTGTTGTTGTTGTTGCTGAGGCTGCTGTTGTTGCTGCTGTTGCTGCTGTTGCTGTGGGTGCTGCTGTTGCGCTGGCGGCGGCGGCTGCTGCTGCTGCTGTTGTTGTTGTGGCCAACCCGTCGGTGGCCGTGTGCCACTAATCGGCGGCGGAGCTGCATATTGTGGTTGGAATTGTGTAGGCGGTGGGCCATACATATTCGGATTCATAGCTTAAAGTGGCCTGCGAGCAGCGTCTCAAAATAAGCACATAAAAATCAAGCAGCAACTTTCACACACAAAACACAAATTGCAGCTCAAAGTTCGCGTTACCGTTCCCACGAATTCAAACGATTTCAGACCTTGCTGAGTCGAAATTCGGCTTAGATGCGTTGGCTAGCGGCTGTTGTGCAATTATTTGCAGCTTTCGCTGGGAATGGATGCACAGGTAACGCAGTTTTTAACACAAATTCCAAGCAAAACGAACTTCCACGTCAGTTCGCTAATTCGATTTTTTTCTGCTGCCTATTGGCTGCATTTGACAGTTTGCCACGTAAAGTTGTCGCCTGTGCGACTTATATCGATAACAGTCAAGCAATGAGCAGTGTTGTTGATTTCGATATGTTTGGCGATAGTTTTTTTCGAAAATCAAATGCTGCAACTGATAGAAATACAATCGTATTGAAGAGTGTGTTGATTAAACAATTAGATGCTACGTATTTTATATATATACTCATTATGAACCTAACGCTCTTATATATGTTACCTTAAAGTCAGATCACAGAACTGTCATAGATAAAAAACACTCATCCGTCACATAAAACGAAGTCAGCTAAAAATTAAACTAGTATCGATAGCCAATCTCTAAAAATATCGTATCCCGGCAACATATCATGTGTTAACAGTGCACTGTTATTGCAACATATTTATTGTGGCCGTTACATTTAAACTCTTCATGTCTCATATGCTCCGTAATAAATTGAATAGGGAATGAATGTGGCGGAGAAGTGATCGTAAATGGACACAAATTGCAAAATACTGTAATCCAAAAGGTATGAAGGTCAGAAACTAATAGTTAAAATTACAACGTAAATTGCATCGTTATTTTTATTTAAGGTTGGACAATAGGAATGGAAGGTTCACGTATTGGGCGAAAAGGCTGACGAGGATGTTGATAACTCTGAGAATCGATTCTGTATTTCTTTTTCTCGAAACGCACAGTTGACTGAACGCCCTCGAAAAAGCGAAGCCCAGTATGCCGCTCAATCTCGGCAATGTCGCACAGATAATCCGTCAATTCGGTGCTGCTGCTTGAAGCATTTTGTTTATTGTCTATTATGTAGCCTTCCATATAGGGAGTATATTCCGGCAGCTGTGGATCAATGATGAGCACCTTGAAATAGTGAGATGGCATTGGGAGCGGAATCCAATCAACAATTTGATATTCTAAAGTCCAATCCTCGGTAGGGCGGCAAGATGGCAAATACATGGGACCTGTGTACACATACACCGAGCCGAATTTTTCCGTCATTTGGGACACATGCTGTTCCAGCTTACGCCAAATTTCACGCTTGAAGGCCTTACAAACTCGCGTGCCGCCACAGCTCAGAACAAATACATCATTGTAGCGAAGATGCAGTGCATCGCCGTCCGCATCGGTGGTAAGCTTCTTATAGTTGCCTTTCAGATGCTCGCACATCCATTTTGGGGAATTGGTGCTCAAGTCCTGCGATACAACGTAGTCCTTGTGCACATACAGATTCTCTATGCTAGGTAGACCAAACTTGACCAGATCCAACAAATCTGGCGTACACGACATGGGCCTCTTGTCAAAAAATATATTGCCAATTATATCGAATAGTGAAAAGAACAAACGGTGGCGTATTCTGTCCGCCAGGGTCGGCGACAGATTCCACAGCCTCGCCTCATGATCCGTCCTAAATGTAGACAGCTGAACGCCGAGTGAGGCAGTTGGTAAATGTTCCAACTTTCACCATATACTTACGAGTGGGTACAGCTTACGGCGATATTGAAACACATATGGGTCTCTCCTTATCATGCCAAACAGGTGACGAATTGCACTTTCTTGTTGGAAGTAGGCACCGAATACAAATCCCGTCAAGCCCGCCAGCGCGTAGAGCGCACATTGTTGGGCGCCGGCCTCTGTGGCCGACATTGTGATGCGTCGCAATTTTTAAAAAAACTATCTATATATATATATATATATATATTAATGCCGCCTAGTTACTTTTAATTTTGTGTTAATCCTTTTTCAGATTTTCTCTACAAACGAAAGAACAAGTTTTTAAAAATGAGCTACTGTCTGAAAATATTGCTAGTTGCCAAAAAAAAAAAATTATATTTGTAGATCAGATGTCTACGGGGTAGTAAAGTTCTTTTATTTGTAACTATGACTATGTCCATCTCTGGGCATCTCCTGGTTGCAAATAATTATATACTAGGAACTCAATTTAAACCAAGAATGGCACACAACAGGAATTGCTTGTGAATGGACGCATGAGGCAAGCTCAAGAATAGGTTTAAGCAGAGATATAAAAAGGATCCTTGTCGTGTAAGAATCGTCAATCTGCATCAATGACCATCGCTTGATGAAGCCCAATCCCATTCTGATCTTATTTCGAATTTAAGTTTATGATCAAGAATGAACATAAATTATTTAGGTATTGTTGACACGCTCGAGCAGTAAGCTGTCTAGGAAGAAAGTCATTGCCTTCAACTTGACACAGTTTAGATCTAACAGGTTAGCTTGACACCAAGACCGAAATTTACCAAAGTTCAACAGTTTATTGTGATAAAGTAAATTAGCTTTATTAACAAATGATAGCAAACTTCTGTTACAGGAACTTAATTTATATTTTCAAACCTCGAGATTGAGCCAGCTAATTAAGCAAAGTCTCGAAACACTTGCGACTGGCTTGGATAGTTGCTGCCGAATATTGCGCTTCTACGTATGCCCTGAAAGAAATTAAGTCCTGCAAGGTGCTCGATCTCCCGTATATCGCAAAGAAACTCGCGGATCGTTAGTTCCTCTGGTATGGGTGTATTTGGAAGCACATAAGCCTCCATATAGGGCTTGCCCAACGGCAGTTTGGACTCCACCATGATCACCTTGAAAAAGTGAGTAGGTACCGCCACCATACTGGAGCCGATCATCTGGTATTGCACACTCCATTTGTCATTGCCCTGTGGTCGGGGCTTGAACAGAGGGCCCGTGCACACATATACTGACCCAAAATGTTGGGCTAGTTCCCTTACATAGATCTCCAGCTTGTTCCAGGCACCGCTATTGAAGCCCTGGCCTATCTGCGGCGCTATGTTGGTCAGGAAGAAGGTTTCGTTGCAATCTATTTGTTGGCCACGATGATTTCCAGCGGCTGCCAGATGACCACGATCAAAGCCAGAGTGTCTATAGTCGGCGAGCGTCGATCGAAAAGTCGAGGGCACACTCAGATCTGGCCGATAGGCGGCGCGAGCGCGGATAACGTGCCGCGTACCCTGTAGATCTGACTTCTGCAAGTGCTCGCATACCCAATGCGCCACGCGATTGCGACGATCGTAGGAAAGCACAAAGTCGCTATATAGCCGGACATCATCCAAGCCGGGAAACCCGTACTTCATGATACGCTGTACGCGGTGTGTGGGCTCTGTCGCAGAGCTGAAGAAGCAAAACTGAGAAACAGAATTTTAATTGCCTTCAGCTGATCCAAGATGCTGGCAAGGTGCAGGCTGCTGCTGGCTTACCACACCGAAGACCTTTGGGCTGATATAGTAGGCATAGGGATCCTGCTGCACGAGCTGTTGGAGCAGTCGGGTAGCATGGTTATGTTGAAAGTAAACGCCAGCCACAAAGCATCCAATCGCAGAGGCAAATCCAATTGCCACAACCAGCAGCAAGTGCCAGGGCCGGCTCATAAAAAAGAAACTGTAGGAAAAACTAGCTCCAAATTTGTATGATAAGAATATATATTAGAATATTATTACAGAGTCAGCTGTGGTTTTCATGTAAGTTTCAAACTTGGCAGTCATTTTAAATGTTTTTAACCAAGTGCTTTTCTATGCGATTTCCAGTGGTTTTTGATATACATATATGATTTTACAAAACTTTTTGCTCAGTTATTTATTATACCCATGCAGAGGGTATTATAATTTTGTCGTGAAATGTGTAACGCATAGAAGGAAACATCGCCGACCCCATAAAGTATATATATATTTTTGATCAGTATCAACAGCCGAGTCGTTATAGCCGTCTGCCCGTCTGTCTGTTTCTATACGAACTAGTCCCTCAGTTTCACAGCTACCTTTATGAAACTTTTCAGAAGTATCTCTTTCTGTTGCACGCAGCGCATATGTCAAAACCAGCTGGATCAGACCACTATATCATATAGCTGCCATGGGAACGAAATAATTCCACGGGAGATATGACGTTTGAAAACGACATAACGTACGGCTGAGCTTTGTCGACAAGGAGTTATGTCGTTTTCAAACGTCATATCTCCCGCGGAATTATGTGGAGAGTTTCTTTCTAACGACATAACTCCGCGGCGTTATGTCGTGGAGAAAATATGTCGTTTCAAAACGACATATCTCCGCGAGGCGTTGGTCGTGGAGAGATTATGTCGTTTCAAAACGACATATCTCCGCCCGGCGTTGGTCGTGGAGAGATTATGTCGTTTCAAAACGACATAGCTCCCCGCGGAGTTATGTCGTTTCAAAACGACATATCTCCGCGCGGCGTTGGTCGTGGAGAAATTATGTCGTTTCAAAACGACATATCTCCGCGCGGCGTTGGTGGTGGAGAAATTATGTCGTTTCAAAACGACATATCTCCGCGCGGCGTTGGTCGTGGAGAGATTATGTCGTTTCAAAACGACATAGCTCCCCGCGGCGTTGGTCGTGGAGAGATTATGTCGTTTTCAAACGTCATATCTCCCGCGGAATTATGTCGAGAGTTTCTTTCTAACGACCAAAGGGAAAGCTTACTAGGGCAACGCCGGAGAATACCCGCTAAGTGTGGATACATAAAATAAAAACTAGATATTCAAATGCTGTAAGACATATATTACTTTAAATAACTATATAAATAATAATTAAGCAATGAAAATACGATGTTATGAAAGAAAATAAATATATTGAAAAACAAATAAATTCTGATTTTATTTTTGTCAGGAATTTTTTGGGCAGTTAAGGTGAGTAATTCGAAAGAGTTGAGAAGGAGTTATGTCGTTAGAAAGAAACTCTCCACATAATTCCGCGGGAGATATGACGTTTGAAAACGACATAACTCCTTGTCGACAAAGCTCAGCCGTACGTTTGAAAACGACATAACGTACGGCTGAGCTTTGTCGACAAGGAGTTATGTCGTTTTCAAACGTCATATCTCCCGCGGAATTATGTGGAGAGTTTCTTTCTAACGACATAACTCCGCGGCGTTATGTCGTGGAGAAAATATGTCGTTTCAAAACGACATATCTCCGCGAGGCGTTGGTCGTGGAGAGATTATGTCGTTTCAAAACGACATATCTCCGCCCGGCGTTGGTCGTGGAGAGATTATGTCGTTTCAAAACGACATAGCTCCCCGCGGAGTTATGTCGTTTCAAAACGACATATCTCCGCGCGGCGTTGGTCGTGGAGAAATTATGTCGTTTCAAAACGACATATCTCCGCGCGGCGTTGGTGGTGGAGAAATTATGTCGTTTCAAAACGACATATCTCCGCGCGGCGTTGGTCGTGGAGAGATTATGTCGTTTCAAAACGACATAGCTCCCCGCGGCGTTGGTCGTGGAGAGATTATGTCGTTTTCAAACGTCATATCTCCCGCGTAATTATGTCGAGAGTTTCTTTCTAACGACCAAAGGGAAAGCTTACTAGGGCAACGCCGGAGAATACCCGCTAAGTGTGGATACATAAAATAAAAACTAGACATTCAAATGCTGTAAGACATATATTACTTTAAATAACTATATAAATAATAATTAAGCAATGAAAATACGATGTTATGAAAGAAAATAAATATATTGAAAAACAAATAAATTCTGATTTTATTTTTGTCAGGAATTTTTTGGGCAGTTAAGGTGAGTAATTCGAAAGAGTTGAGAAGGAGTTATGTCGTTAGAAAGAAACTCTCCACATAATTCCGCGGGAGATATGACGTTTGAAAACGACATAACTCCTTGTCGACAAAGCTCAGCCGTACGTTTGAAAACGACATAACGTACGGCTGAGCTTTGTCGACAAGGAGTTATGTCGTTTTCAAACGTCATATCTCCCGCGGAATTATGTGGAGAGTTTCTTTCTAACGACATAACTCCGCGGCGTTATGTCGTGGAGAAAATATGTCGTTTCAAAACGACATATCTCCGCGAGGCGTTGGTCGTGGAGAGATTATGTCGTTTCAAAACGACATATCTCCGCCCGGCGTTGGTCGTGGAGAGATTATGTCGTTTCAAAACGACATAGCTCCCCGCGGAGTTATGTCGTTTCAAAACGACATATCTCCGCGCGGCGTTGGTCGTGGAGAAATTATGTCGTTTCAAAACGACATATCTCCGCGCGGCGTTGGTGGTGGAGAAATTATGTCGTTTCAAAACGACATATCTCCGCGCGGCGTTGGTCGTGGAGAGATTATGTCGTTTCAAAACGACATAGCTCCCCGCGGCGTTGGTCGTGGAGAGATTATGTCGTTTTCAAACGTCATATCTCCCGCGGAATTATGTCGAGAGTTTCTTTCTAACGACCAAAGGGAAAGCTTACTAGGGCAACGCCGGAGAATACCCGCTAAGTGTGGATACATAAAATAAAAACTAGACATTCAAATGCTGTAAGACATATATTACTTTAAATAACTATATAAATAATAATTAAGCAATGAAAATACGATGTTATGAAAGAAAATAAATATATTGAAAAACAAATAAATTCTGATTTTATTTTTGTCAGGAATTTTTTGGGCAGTTAAGGTGAGTAATTCGAAAGAGTTGAGAAGGAGTTATGTCGTTAGAAAGAAACTCTCCACATAATTCCGCGGGAGATATGACGTTTGAAAACGACATAACTCCTTGTCGACAAAGCTCAGCCGTACGTTTGAAAACGACATAACGTACGGCTGAGCTTTGTCGACAAGGAGTTATGTCGTTTTCAAACGTCATATCTCCCGCGGAATTATGTGGAGAGTTTCTTTCTAACGACATAACTCCGCGGCGTTATGTCGTGGAGAAAATATGTCGTTTCAAAACGACATATCTCCGCGAGGCGTTGGTCGTGGAGAGATTATGTCGTTTCAAAACGACATATCTCCGCCCGGCGTTGGTCGTGGAGAGATTATGTCGTTTCAAAACGACATAGCTCGCCGCGGAGTTATGTCGTTTCAAAACGACATATCTCCGCGCGGCGTTGGTCGTGGAGAAATTATGTCGTTTCAAAACGACATATCTCCGCGCGGCGTTGGTGGTGGAGAAATTATGTCGTTTCAAAACGACATATCTCCGCGCGGCGTTGGTCGTGGAGAGATTATGTCGTTTCAAAACGACATAGCTCCCCGCGGCGTTGGTCGTGGAGAGATTATGTCGTTTTCAAACGTCATATCTCCCGCGTAATTATGTCGAGAGTTTCTTTCTAACGACCAAAGGGAAAGCTTACTAGGGCAACGCCGGAGAATACCCGCTAAGTGTGGATACATAAAATAAAAACTAGACATTCAAATGCTGTAAGACATATATTACTTTAAATAACTATATAAATAATAATTAAGCAATGAAAATACGATGTTATGAAAGAAAATAAATATATTGAAAAACAAATAAATTCTGATTTTATTTTTGTCAGGAATTTTTTGGGCAGTTAAGGTGAGTAATTCGAAAGAGTTGAGAAGGAGTTATGTCGTTAGAAAGAAACTCTCCACATAATTCCGCGGGAGATATGACGTTTGAAAACGACATAACTCCTTGTCGACAAAGCTCAGCCGTACGTTTGAAAACGACATAACGTACGGCTGAGCTTTGTCGACAAGGAGTTATGTCGTTTTCAAACGTCATATCTCCCGCGGAATTATGTGGAGAGTTTCTTTCTAACGACATAACTCCGCGGCGTTATGTCGTGGAGAAAATATGTCGTTTCAAAACGACATATCTCCGCGAGGCGTTGGTCGTGGAGAGATTATGTCGTTTCAAAACGACATATCTCCGCCCGGCGTTGGTCGTGGAGAGATTATGTCGTTTCAAAACGACATAGCTCCCCGCGGAGTTATGTCGTTTCAAAACGACATATCTCCGCGCGGCGTTGGTCGTGGAGAAATTATGTCGTTTCAAAACGACATATCTCCGCGAGGCGTTGGTCGTGGAGAGATTATGTCGTTTCAAAACGACATATCTCCGCCCGGCGTTGGTCGTGGAGAGATTATGTCGTTTCAAAACGACATAGCTCCCCGCGGAGTTATGTCGTTTCAAAACGACATAGCTCCCCGCGGAGTTATGTCGTTTCAAAACGACATATCTCCGCGAGGCGTTGGTCGTGGAGAGATTATGTCGTTTCAAAACGACATATCTCCGCCCGGCGTTGGTCGTGGAGAGATTATGTCGTTTCAAAACGACATAGCTCCCCGCGGAGTTATGTCGTTTCAAAACGACATATCTCCGCGCGGCGTTGGTCGTGGAGAAATTATGTCGTTTCAAAACGACATATCTCCGCGCGGCGTTGGTGGTGGAGAAATTATGTCGTTTCAAAACGACATATCTCCGCGCGGCGTTGGTCGTGGAGAGATTATGTCGTTTCAAAACGACATAGCTCCCCGCGGCGTTGGTCGTGGAGAGATTATGTCGTTTTCAAACGTCATATCTCCCGCGGAATTATGTCGAGAGTTTCTTTCTAACGACCAAAGGGAAAGCTTACTAGGGCAACGCCGGAGAATACCCGCTAAGTGTGGATACATAAAATAAAAACTAGACATTCAAATGCTGTAAGACATATATTACTTTAAATAACTATATAAATAATAATTAAGCAATGAAAATACGATGTTATGAAAGAAAATAAATATATTGAAAAACAAATAAATTCTGATTTTATTTTTGTCAGGAATTTTTTGGGCAGTTAAGGTGAGTAATTCGAAAGAGTTGAGAAGGAGTTATGTCGTTAGAAAGAAACTCTCCACATAATTCCGCGGGAGATATGACGTTTGAAAACGACATAACTCCTTGTCGACAAAGCTCAGCCGTACGTTATGTCGTTTTCAAACGTCATATCTCCCGCGGAAATACTCTCGACATAATTCCGCGGGAGATATGACGTTTGAAAACGACATAACTCCTTGTCGACACAGCTCAGCCGTACGTTATGTCGTTTCAAACGTCATATCTCCCGCGGAATTACTCTCACCATAATTCGGCGGGAGATATGACGTTTGAAAACGACATAACTCCTTGTCGACACAGCTCAGCCGTACGTTTGAAAACGACATAACGTACGGCTGAGCTTTGTCGACAAGGAGTTATATCGTTTTCAATATGATATAATTCCGCCATTGTCGACACCTCGACATAATGTCGCTTTAAAACGATATAATTTCGCTGGTCCTCAAACGCCATACTTCCGCAGGAGTACGTTTATATATGTGTATGGTCACATGCATCTATGCATTAGTATTACGCTCGCAGTTATTATGTTTTCATTTTAAACTGATGATCTGGTGATTCCAAATCGCGTAGTTGAGCCCTCTCAACTTGTTCTCAATTCTTATGCAACTGTTTAATTTAACCAGAGTAAATAAAGACATTTCAAAATTATTTTTTATTTAATCCATATTTTTATTGGCTGTTGGCAATTACCAGGTGTTGGTGTTACATTTTTTTAAGTGTAAATAAAAACATTACGTATTGCCTCTTTGAAAAATATTTTGTTTTTAAGATATCTTGACCAAACTCGGCATTTTAAAATCCTATTAAGATCGGTCTGCGATATAATATATCTGCCATAGGAACGATCGGTCGAAAACTAGGTCTTTGATTAAAAACCTTTTTTGTTTATCAAGATATCTTGACCAAACTCGGCATAAACTATTTTCTTTTTATTTTATTTTCTAACATTTTAATTTGAAATATTTATTTATCCAAAAAATGGCATCATTTTTGAAAAGCCTTAGTTTAAGTAATAAATAATATAGACTAACGAATATGATGATAACTGTATGAAACATAAGTTGTTAAATTTTGATGGCTTGCGCAAATTACTTGGATTGGGAACATATTTGATATTGCGTTCAGGCAATGCTAACAGCTATTTAACTAAGGAGCTTTAACAATTATTACAGCTAATTACTTATTTGAGATAGAGAATTTTCCAGTCCCTGAGGAGAAGGCACTTGGGTATTGACAAAGTTGCGATCGAGGCCCTCAAAGAATTTCAATCCGGTCGCATTCTCAATGTCGCGTACATCACAGAGCAGACTGCGTAGCTCGGTGTTATCATGGATGGCCACGTTGGGCACCACATAAGCTTCCGCATAGGGTGTGCTATTGATGTGCTTCGGATCGATGATGATGATCTTAAAGAAATGCGTCGGTATGGCGACAATCGTATTGTCCTCCGGCTGAAATTCCAGGTACCAGTTGTTGCTCTTCATTTCGCGTGGCAGATAAATGGATCCAGTGTACACAAATACAACGCCATGATTTTGGGCCATATCATGCACATAGTGCAGCAGTCGATCCCAGACGCCGGAATTGAAGCCCCGACTCAAAAATGGTTTTATGTTCGACATGAAGAAAACACGCGCTGCCTCCGACTGCTGATAGATGCTTGGGGGCGTTCCGAATGGCCTACGGCGCACTGAAAGGCTATGATACTCGTGTGCCGTGGCATTTGTATAGCTGGATTGGTCGACGCGTTCGCACATCCATTGAATGGCCGAGTTACGGCGATCGAACGAGGTAACAAAGTTGAAGGTCTCATTTAGGTTTATCTCGTTCATGCTCGGGAATCCGTACTTCATAACGGCGCCCATCTTGTGCGTATTATTGTCCGCGATCTCTTCATAGCATTCACTGATCGCTCTCACGTTGAAGATATCCAACTGAAATGGGTGTACACCTGTGTTCAGCAGGGTGCTATCGTACAAACAGGCAAGAGGGCATCTTACCAGTGCATAGAGCTTTCGTCGAATGAAGTAGGCATGTGGATTTCGCTGTTCCAGTTTCTTAATATTGCGGATCACATGCTGGTGCTGATAGTATGCACCCAAAGCAAAGAAGGTACCGGCTGTGGCTGCAACGATTGCCAGTTTACCACTCAATGGCATGTCTATGTCCATGTCCACATCTCCACCAGCGAAATAAATTATGAAATTTAAAAAAAAAAAAATAAAACTAAAATTTTCGATATAAATTTAAGTCGTGTTAAGTTAGTTTTTATTAGAATTCAAATAGAGAGTTGTAAATCAAAGTTGTGTATGCGTATAATGAATTAATGAGTATTAAACTGATCGACTCAAATGCTTCTGGCATTTGCCCAAAAACTTGACAGAAGCCAGCAAAGCAGTAGCCTTATGAAACTACAACTGGTTTGAGCGCGATGACTTCTGTCAAGTCCAGTCAATGCAATTAAAGTAAGGCTGATGTCTTCGATTGACTTCAATGCTGAGCTTGGTAGATTATTTTGTACGCTGTATTGCATTTAGGCCAAGGCTACAATTGTTAAAAAATTGTTTGGCTCAAACTGAAATACTTCAGAAAAGAATCAAGCGGGCTGCGACCTTTACATTTACCCAAAAATATGTGGTATATGTCAATTTGGGATGGGATAATCAAGAATTTAATTATTGGATTTTTTATAAGGTATATGACAAACCTAGGCTAGATCAGATCTGATCAGATGCAAGAACTGTTCCTGTGTGTGTAAGTATATGCGTGCTATTGTAACAAAAGAGCTGCGTCAACTCTTCGGGGGAATATTCTTGGTCGGGCCAGAATAGAACATAGAAGTAAGAGTACTTGTTTTTTTGTTTTGCTAATCGCAACATTAATTGAGCAACTTATTTGTGAGCAGGCTATTCCCTTGACAATGTAAAAAGTTTTCGTGTCTTTTTCTTTGAACCAAGTTAGTACACGGTTTTGGTCTGAAATCTACAGCCAACACTTAGACTGTGCACTTGCCAACTGCATTAAGTCAATAAGAAAAGTTGAAGTCCTGAACGTTGACCCACCGTAACCGGAAAACAGAAGGACCCAACGTCTGGCCTAGCCCTTCCCCAACGAAGTTTATAATAAGCGCCCAGTGCAGCGGCTGACTAAACCAAAAAGCGCCCTTAAGATTTATTCGCACAATCCCGTCGCACTTTGTTATGCTTAAAAATGTTAGTTACGGATTTACAGTTTTCGGTTCAATGCGCAACTTTGGCGTAGAGGCCCGCAGCCCATTGGGCGGCTCGAAAAAAGTTTAAGCATGGACTAAAACTGCAAAAGGACAAAAAGGCGGCCAGCAGAATGGTTAAGAATTGTTTCAATTGTAAAAGCATTTCTGCAATAATACAATGAGTTATTTTATTTTCAAAGAAGGCTGCGCTCATTTTAGCGATAACTAAGCATGTATCTATATAACTGGTGCATGTATCTTTAATATTCCTATTATTGTGGATCCTAGGTTATAGGTGGTATGTAATGCATGATAAATACATGTACCACGCCATAAAGTGTATTAGAATTTGCAGCTGCTAGAAAACAACTTTGACTTTAACTAAAAGAAACACTTACCTTTCCCTGAAACTCTCATAAGAACACACTACAATCGCTAAAGATATTCAACAATGCATTTCCCACTGGATGCGGTTAAGGAAAAGTATACAATAAATGCGCGGCTGGCGGGTTCGGTGCTTATTTGGCATTTAGCATCTAGAATAGTATATACACATCAAGTATCTTTTAATATATTTTTTACTATTACTAATTTCATATATTTTTCATTAATGATTTAGGAAGCTTTAGGGTATCCCCTAGTTGGACACATCCGACAATTTTACTTGTTTCCTTTGGAATACTTGTCGGGCATTGCCGACTAGGGAATTCTTTATTTAATAATTTTAATATTGTGCATTTATTTTGTAAATTGGTTTAGTTTGGCACTTTAAAATATGCGGGTTGTGTATCAGGGAAATATCATCATCACCGAAGCTCTAAGGCAATTAACGATGTAAGTTAAAATAAAAGAGATATGCAAAACATGGTTGCCTGTGTAAATGGGTCTGTAGCTTCAATCTCTACACTTTGTGCGACCCCAAACAGGTCACGTGGTAAACAGAGAATGCTTTAATGACAAACGACTTTAATGACAAACGACTTTTGGGGGTAAGTAAGCCCCAAAGCTGTTCGCTGCCTGGAGTGGCAGTTTTCCCAGTTAATTCCCGCCCCGCCGCCGGCGTACCCTTGCGTCCTTGTCAGTGTCACAAAGGAACTGCGCAAAAAGTTTGGTGACACTCAAGCGAACAAAGTTAAGAGTAAAATGCGCAAAAGTGCAGTAAATTTTTGGGTACGAACCAAATATTTTAATTCGCAGAAAGAGGTTTCAAGAGGGACTTTCAGTTGGGTGCCGAGATTCGTAATGCTCAATAAGTGTCCTTTGAGCAAGCTGAAGCAGAAGAGCGCAACGTATAGGCTGCCGTGGGCCTGCCAATTAATTTGTATAGTCTAATTGGTGGTTTTGCCAATTAATTAGCGTGGGCGTGGTTGGCGCCCACAACCAAGCTCAAACTAGCCCGTTTTTGGCATATTGATTGACGCCCGAAGGTTGAGAAAGTGTCGGAGCTAGAGGTCCTTATGGTCCCAGGTCCCGTGCCGACGCTTAAGGGTTTTTGCGGATTTTCTAATCAACGCGCCTCACGAAATTTGCATAATTGAAATGCCACCTCACGTTCGCCAGGTGTGTGCCATTTATGTGTCCGTGACCAAAGTGCTGAAAACTTGCCACGCCCGCCAGTTGGCAACTCGTGGCCTGGCCGCATTTCTCCTTCTGCCAGAGCGATTGACTTGCTAAGTGCCTGAAATTTGTCGCTTCATTTGGTCTCTCATAAATGAATTATTCGCCTTAGTCTTCATAATAAGGTGTGCTACAAATTTAATTTGAGCTAAGCAATTAGCCGATAACAGAGCGCTGCGATGAGTTTTGGACTTACTTGCTACCCTCGAGCGTACAAATGGAAAAAGTTGTCAAACTTTTGAATTTATGTTCGTACAGCCCTAATTCAGTTTAGAATATATTTATGGGTAAGCGAGTTAAACTCTAAATCATTAAGGGTTGAAGAGATTTGAGCCTAAAAATACCCAAAACTAATCCTTCACCGATTCAATCTATTTCTCTAAATAGATGCAGCGAATTAACACCTTAAAATACATATTCACCTGGGTAAATATGTCTAATAAAGGAATCGATTTTAGGGAAACATATCTTTCGAATCGCTAAGCCCAGCTCATATAGACAAGACGAATATCTAACAAGTAATAGTACTCTAATAGGTAGATAGACCCTTAATTTGCTTCTATGGAAAAGACAAGCGCTCACGCCGGGGCAATCTATCGCTGATTTATAAACGTAATTCAAGTTCAACTACAAGATAAGTAAATGTATTTAATTAGTATTCAGAAATGGGCTCTCAACCCCCCCACCCACACTCGGCGACAATAGGCGGGAGAGTAAATGAGTTCCATTAAACAGTTGTTTATTTTGATACCAATTAAATAATCAACGCCGTTTTTTTAATAACCGACGCTCGCTCGCTCTTCTCACGCGTCGTTTGTTATCTCTAGAGATGAGGGAGAGAGTGTAGACACGAAGTCGCCACTCGATGAATATCTGCTTGGAATAGAGATGGTAGCGGGCCGTGTTTTTTTTTTCGTGACTTATTAAACGGAAGATTTTTTGATCGAATTATGTTCGTGCACGGCACGACATCTATTTGATCGCACCTTGAAAAGTATCAATAAAATCTTTACACTAAGATTCAGAGTTTGAATAATAGCATTCAGTGCTGTTTATATTTTGGACACTGCTTCGTGCTGAACCCTGGCTCAAAGCTGAGGTACCCGCACCCATCTCTAGTAAATTTGAGTTTCGAGCGCTCGGAACCGATCAGCCAGTCAGTCGTTAGTTGAGCACGCACCATTGAGCGGTACGGAACTGTTAAATTGGCGTCTGACTAAGTGTGTGTTTGAGGCGTACGCGATCTTTGGGGCAACGTACGAACGAGAGCTTACGCATAAATTCTAAAAGATACAGTCATGCACTTGGTACCGATAATATTTATAGCTATGGGCGCTATTAGTCTTGTGATAGGTAGGTCAGTTGTCAAATAAAATGTATTTAATATATATATATAGATAACATATTTCTTTATATGCCATAAATATTAGCGGCACCTTCAACGGAAGCTGCCTCAGCAAATCTGCCCGAGCTAAACCATTGCGATCACAAGTTAACAAAGTCGAATAAGTATTTGGATTATCCATTTTGGAAGAAGTTCTTCAAGCATTTGGTACCCTTTACGAGCAGCGCTCGTGTCAAAATGCAATTCTTTCTATTCAAAAGGGACTTTCCCGATTGCGGTAAAGAACTGTTTCCCAATGATGATGAGACCTTGGAGCGTTCCGGTTTCGATGCACGTCATCCCACTAGGTAAGTTCCTTAATCGGGTTTAATCCCAAAGCCATTGCATTGGCTGATAAGAGATTGGGAAACACACAAATGTGCATATCGGACACAGTAATGGAAATTTTCAATGCAAATAGTATACACTACATGCAAATTTAACGTATGTATTGGTCCGTAACTTGCATGTGTGTATCTATTGTTAGCCCACATTTACTTTCTCACTCTAAATATACATTTTCTGCATCATTTTGATCAGCTGCAGTTTCGCCTGGTGCAAAAATTTGAGTAAGTTTCTAATTAATTGTTTTTATACCCTAGCCAGTTGAAAATGGCTATATTGTATTTGTGTAGGGGTATGTAATAGGCAGAATAAAGCATCTTCTATTCCATAAGGTATATCTATATATCGACTGTCCGCTGATGCTTTGAAATCAAAGGTTCTAATAGCTGCCTAACGTTGGATTCAGGGTATCTCATAGTCGGGACCACTTTTACTTGTTTAATTTTGTTATTCACATGTGAAAACTGGTTTTGTGTTTTTATCAGTATTTAATGCTCTCTATTTAGATCATGGTAAAGGGGTAGATTGCATTTTTGAAAAGCATGTAAAACATATAAATAGCTACAGATCTGACGAAGAATTGAAAGTTCAATACGCTCGCCTTATTCGAAGTCAATTCGATGTAGTAATTTTTCAATAATTAATAAGGTCAGTTCAGTTAATCTGTGGCAACCGTTAAACCGAATCGATCGTTAAACGACGAACGCGTGAATATCGGATTGTACTTTTAATTTTATACATATTTCTTATATAAAGGTTTATTTTTTAAACATTAAATATTTCTGGCTTATACCTATAAATTGCTACAGGGTATTCTAACGTCGAATACTTACTTAGCAGCGGAGTGCTACGTGTTTTTGGCGTGCTTTCATTTTGGTTTTGGCCGCTTATCAGTGAGTCATTCACAGTTGGCCTGAAGTTGAAATGCCTTGAATAAAATACAAATGTGTTTATTGTTGTCTAAAAATGTTGCATGCAAATTTGCTGGCAATTGAAAAACCCAAAAATAAATATTGACAGAATAGAGATAAAATCCTTATATAACAATTTTTTTACTTTTTAAGTTCAGCTTTAGTTTCTTAGAATTTTTTGGAAATCTAAACTGAATTTAATAGTTGATAAGCCTGATATGAGCTATAAACAAGTATTTATTCATACTGTTTAATGATATCTTTTTTAAGGTCGCAGGCTTAGTTATTGTTGCAACAGTTTGGTGATAAATATAAGGTTAACTGATCAAATTTGTATATTACAGAATTATCATACACGGCTGGATGAGTCAAGGCAAGGGTTCATTGAATCGGGATGTGAAGAGCGCGTATCTGAGTTTGACTAAGCCCAAGCCCAACACACAAAATAATGATGATGACGCAAGGAATGAGCCCCATACGGAAGCGCCACGTTATGAGGATTTCAATATAATTGTGTGCGATTGGAGCAAGATATCCTCGAATGTAAACTACTTTGGTGTTGCCGATATGGTCGAGGATCTGGGCTTTTTGCTAGCCGAGTTTGTGCGTTTTCTCCATATGCGTGCCGGTCTGCAGTTTGACGATGTCTATCTTATTGGGCACTCTCTGGGTGCACAGATTGCGGGCAGTGCGGGCAAGCAAATCAGACCTTTTCGCTTCAATACGATCTATGCCTTGGATCCGGCGGGTCCCAAGTTTCGTGAGCAGAGCGATGAGTATCGCATCGATGCTAGTGATGCCCACTATGTAGAGTCAATACAGACGAGCATCGGATTGGGCTTCGAGGAGCCCGTGGGCCATGCGACCTTCTATCCTAACTATGGCAAGGATCAAAAGAAGTGCTATATGTACGGCTGTTCCCACAAGCGTGCCCACGACTATTTTGCCGAGTCCATCAATAGCACTAAGGGTTTCTGGGGCATTCGCTGCGAGCGCATATCCAAAAAGACTTGGGTACTCTTAGACAATGATGGGGAATTTCGTATGGGTGGTGAGCCGTCAGATCCCAAGAATGGAACGTTCTATGTAAAAACCTATGATAAAAAGCCCTATGCTATGGGCACCAAGCAAGCGCTGGCGGATGCTTCTCGGCAGGAAGAGAGAACAACTGAGGTGTATCATTAATATTAATCTGATTATGTGAATAAGCGACAAGAGTAGCCTAGCTGTGAAATATTGTTAAGAAAGTTGCCTTAATAATAAATGGATAATAATTCTTAAATTCTTACTATTATTTTTACTATTGTTTCTGGAACAAATCACAAAACAATCAAAACATCTTCTATTCAAATCTCAAAAGTTTACAAAATATTTACAAAATATTTGGAACAAAATATAAGCAATGTTGTATATATTGTTGAGTCTATTGTTGCTCAATATGCTGCTTTTGTTGAGGGGATTTAAAATACCATCGTGGGATCCAAGTTATCTGGATGATGAAATGGATTTTCCGGATATACTTAATGAAGGAGACTATGAGATGATGTTGAAGCGTGCCAAGAAATATCATTTTCCCTACGTTTACATTCAAAATTAATGCCACACTTTGCTGTTGCAAACATTTTTGCACTTAGAATTTTGTGAACATTTTAATTAAAACCAACAAAATGTATGTTGGCCAAAATCGTTGCAGTGCTGCAAGTTAATGCATTTTACTCAGCTTAATTAGCTGACATTTTAATTATTCATACGCCACGTGTGACCGCCCAAGCAAGAGCACACCGACAGCCCACTTTTCCACCCCATCATAATTTTCACTTACATAATTTAAGTTAAATCGTATTCGTGTTGAGGTTGGAAACTTTGCCATATGGCGGTTGCGCTACAAGCCGAGAGACCCGGTGCCAAAAACAACTCGAGCTGCAAACATGCAAAAACTAAAAAGATGCACGCAGTTGCCCAATATATGATATATGATCAAACCACTTTATTATACATCTGATAAACGAATATTGGATCAGAAATGGTGTTTTCTCATTCGATCCGAAATAAGCATTAGTTTAAAAGCGCTACTGTGCTAAAGGTGAGCTAGTCTTCGGCATTTCGCAGACTGCCGTGGTTTTAGCTTTTGTCCAATTTTGAAATGTTAAATGAATTTCATTTTCAGCATAGAATTACCAATTTCCTAATGTTCACTGTTGCTTGATCGGCTAAGTGACAGCTTGAAAGGTGTTTAAAACGAACGAATGATTGGCATAGCAAGCCACAGATGTGCATCCATTCCAAGTTGCGAGTGTGGCAGTAATTTATGTAAAATTGCTTTCCATTTTATATGGACCTCATGACTTGTGTAAATCATAGGATGTGTTGACGACTAGTTGCGAATTTTGGATTATGTAAACGACAGTCGTAAGAGCTGTGCTAATTGTGTGTCCAGGTTCCAGGATATTTGATTATTTAAATTTGATGCCAATTGCGTATAAATAATTTATGAGGCGTGCGTCGTCTGCTGGACCTGAGCTGGCATTCTAATTAAGACATGAACATAATTCTGCAAATGTCTCCCAAGCTAGCACTCGCCACAAGCAAACCAATAGCTATTATTACAAGACCAGCTGCTCACACATATTTGTACATGTGTAGCCAAGCCTCCACATGCTTCCCCAGTTCGGTTGACTTCCCCCAATGCAATTTACACTCTCAGCACTGTGCACAGTTTGGAAACCTTTTTGTTCAACTTGAAGACCAATTTGTCGTCTAGAAATGCTTCGTGAGGAAGCAATATAACTCACTCTTTGTGTGTGTGTGTTGCTTTGAGACTGTTTTGCCGCCCAACGTATCCCACTTAAAAGGGGTTAAAGAAAAGAAGAAGAAAAAATTAAAATAAAATCTGTAAAACTACTGGTTGAAAGGTGCGTGCATAACCTCACAAATGAGACCCTGGGTAAAACAACGACAATGACTCGACATCAGTACTCAACGGCAAGGGTTGGAGAATACTTAAAGTTTTCGGATTGACAATGCGCCCACACACTCATAAAAGTTTATGTGAACACGCACTTAGGTCAGCAGATACTTATGTATCTCTTATGTATCTGTAACTTGTATATTGTATCTATTCCTTTTTCACAATTTTATGGTATTTTTATGGTGGACAAGTTTTGTATTTTGTATTTCCTGTTCCTTTTTGCAAACGCGTCCTGTTCCAAAGCTTTAATGTATTTAAATTTGAAAGGTCTGCCGGTCATCAGTTTTAGCATCTTTTTATAACTTGTTGTCTATGTAGGATTCAGGTCTATGCTGTTAAAGTGTTTAAAGTTTAAGGATTAGGGAAAAGCAACCTTTTACTAAGATTACTAATAATAGCCAATAACAAAGCAGCAATCCAGAATTGAAATTATTTTAATGATACTACGAATCGAACTTTAAGTCAAACTAAAGCATCCGAATCGAACCATATAGAAGACAGAAGAGTTCAGCTATCTTGGGAACACCGAAGATTTAATGTCCTTGTGGAAATATTGAAGCTCGTAAATGCAGCTTTTGGTGATAATATCTTGGAGAACTAAATATTTATTTAATATACTTATGCAACCCTTATAAGTTCATATAGATGCATAGCATAGTAAAACTGATAAATGCCGAGTTGGAGCTAGATATCTTGGAAAACAGAAAAGTTGCTCAGACTAGAGCCCGATTCTAAGGGCCATTCATGCCGCAGATATATTTGGACTTGATTTGTCATATAAAAATTAAGTTTGATCAGATACAATGTCATGTTGTATTCAATTTAAAAGCATGACTAAAATTATTTGGTTTGGCCCTGCTCGAAATCTAACGCGACAAATTTTTGCAAGGAGCACTTTCTTATAACCTACTCTTTTTAATTCCCATGTACTTTGTTTGACTCTGCAGCCCTGGTTGTGGACGGAATCCCTGGTGGCAAAGCATAAGTTCCCGTAAGTATAACTTGCAAACAAATATGTGTGTGGGTGTGTGTGTACATGTATTTGAATTTGGCTTCTTGTAGGTTCACTTCTACGCCCTGCTGTGGGTCATGTCCATTTTTGCGGTGTGATTTTATGTGCAAACTTAAATTATACAATTTGGAAGCCAGGAAAACATTTTTATGCCTCAGGTTTGTTGTTGTTCTGGGTGGTGTTGAAAGGGACAATGAGTTGCTAAATGCTTTGAATATTCTTTTGGCCATTGCTTGGGCTGCATGCATAATATACATATGTAAGTACGTTATGTAGCCAGGATTCTTTTCCTTCGAATCTGGCCACACTCACACACTTCCACATACGCATTATAAGGGATACAAGAGCTTTTATGTGCTGACAGGTTGAGTGTGTCATGTGGTTTTTCCTGGGAAGAATACTTTTTGGCCTGCTGCTGCTGTCACTGAAACCAAGAGTTTTGGTTTTCCTCTAAAATTGGTTGATTTTGCTTGGATTTACTAAATAATGAACATTTTGTTGGTGGAAAATACTTTGGACTCATTCTTTTGAAATAGAAAATTGTTTTATGCTATGTTTTTTTTTATTCTTTATTGGATTCGAAAATTCAATTTGTTCCGTACTTTTGCCAATGTGAACTAAAATGATATTCAACAAAACAACAGCAAATACAGCATTTAATTATCCAAATGGTATTTTAAAAAGGTTTCTTAAAGCAATCAATATTAAGTACTTTGCCCAAAGTTTACTAAAATATAATTTTCCCAATGAGTTTCGGCAGAGGATCAGTTAATAACTTCAGGTAGAGTCCATTAAGTATATACATTTATCCTCCCCAATAGCTGAGTCGAAACAGGCATTCATTAAATTCTTATATACTGTACTTGTTAAATTATGGAACAAGCCACACACTGCGTATACGTAATACCTTCGTAATTATGTATACCACTTAAAATTTTGTATATCGATTAACCGCTTAGAATGTAGAGTTTCATTATGCATATATCTATCAGCAATACTATGCATATATCTATCAATATGGACGTATTTGAGTCTTATTGAATCTATCTAATTTTGGGTCGTGTTTGGGTGTTAATAGCGTAGTCTTTAAATTGTACAGGGGCAACACTTCCAGTCATTGGCAGAGCCTTATCCTTATCTCTCTAACATGTCATGCACACATGTTTACACTTGTGTCCCTAGCTTATGTCTATCTTATTTTATAAATATTTACACATTTTGGTGTAATGTTCTAAGGATCACTCGGAGAGCTTGGAAGAAAGCATGATCTGCGAGCCCATATGTTTTCATCAATACACCGTGTATGCGTAAGTGTGCCCTCTTTTATTTGCGGTGTTACGAGTATATATATATATATTTTTTTTAAATGCATGTAAAATGGACTAACTGGGAGATTTTTTCGCTAGCGCTCTTAATCGTAAGCCTCTTGGAGCTTATAACAAAGTACGCACTTTGTTAACATTAAACATAAAGTCAGCAATAAAGCGATGGCGTCTGCTGCAAATGGTTGCTCTAGCGCTTGAAGTTATTTTTGTTATTGCCTTTACAACTTTTTCTTTATGCCCACGTGTACAAACAGTTATGTGTGAGAGTGTGCTACATTGCATTGCACTCAAAATGGCGTTAAGCTCGTAACAAAAGGCAACGCAGCGCAACAAGCAAACAACAAGAGCACAAAGCTCAAGAGCGTATAGGAGAGTGGGAGACCAGAAGCTTCGCCTTAATTCAATTATGTGTGTGTGTGTGTGTGTGTGGCCAGACGTGCAAATATGCGAGCAAGTGAAACAATGCAGACCTCTGTCCAACTATTGCCCAGGCTCAACTTTGTTATTGTTATTTTTTATATGGCGCGCGCATTTTTACAAATTAAAAGCGAGGTCAACTTGAACTCCCGGCCCGGCAGGCATTACACTGTCCAACCAGGTTTTTCAGTGTTTCGCCCATTATCATTGTCAGTGTTGCCATCGTCGTTTACGCAACCACAAAATGTTGCCGGCACGATCCACAGCAACGAGAACAACATTTATGGAAACTATTTGCAAATGCAAACTGTATCGCAAACAAATGCAACGCTGGGCACATTGGCTTACAGAAAACGAGTGCCTGAAGCACAAGTTGCCACTGACTTCCGTAACTGGGTCCAAGATGCGCGAATCGGAGCACGTTTCATGTTAAGTATACAAGTACATATATATGCTATCCATATGTATCTTACCCAAATAACAACAGTACCCGGAAAGGCAGTTTCTACCCAGTCGCCAACTGTGGGGCAGGTCAGGACGCAGAAATAGCAAAGAAATCGTAAATTGAAACAGCTAAATGTAGTAGCTATCGAATTTAAAATACTCTACCGGGCATATTAAATTTAATTTTAAATTAAGATTTAAAAATGATAATACTTAAGCTGTGTCAATGATTGTCAATATAAGAAAATTAAGAAAAACCTTAGGTTAACTGAGCTTTAACATTTTATAGGATATATGTTTCTGCTATGTTTTATTATTAATCAAATGTATTTCACACCTGTTACATTAATTTTTTAACTTGTGCAGCTTTCTGTCCTATACACCATATAAAAACCAGTTAAATAAGAAAGAGTAACTGGCGGAGGCACTCTTCTACTTCAGTCTCAAGTTTTACCCACGCGCAAAGAGAATGGCAAATAAAAATCAGATTCGTCCGTGGCCAAGTCTCAGACAGGGGGGAGGGGGGAGGTTTAGGTAAGGGAAGCGAGCTGGGCTGGGCAAGTCATGGCAATTGGCCGCCTTCTGTCTGACGCTGTTAACCCTGCAAGTTATGCATTCTTAATTTAATCGCTGGAAATTGACTCTCCAGAGTGCGAAGCTTGGCAAGGCTTAGCACAGCTCCCGGGGCTCTGTCTTTTTGTATGCTTCAGCTGACTCCTTAACTGGGTCTGTCGAATGAGCAATTTTGAAAAGTTTGCTGCAGAGATTGGACATATATCATACGATTATGATTATATTGCATAGTTTGCAATATGCAATGGCTTGGAAAGCTTTCTGCCCAAACAGACATTAAGCTCCGCAGATATTACAAACTTCCCCACACTTGCACACAACAAGTATGCAAATAGTTGCCAGACGTTGCCAAACTTAGTTTTGCAGAGAGCGCAACTGTCTGTGCAACTTAAGAAAAAGGATAATTTAGCTGCAATTTCGAGGGGCGCCAGAGAAAATTTAAATTGAGCTAGCTTTCGGTTACTCGCTGAAAGTATTTAATTGCTTAGTTTATATCTAATTGATTTCTTTTCACGAACTACTATTGAAAGAACTGTGGCAGGAAGCGACTCGTGTGTTTGTATGCGTTTTTGTTTATGTATTTATAGAAGGCAGCTAGTAAGCTTTCTGTTGTTAAAAATGTATAAGTATAAATATTAATATATATAATATATATACAATTGGAATTCAATTTATGTGTATGCATTTGTGTGTATGTGTGCACATATATGCAGAAGTTCTTGTAATTTGCCCTAGCTGCAATAGCTTTAATAGCTTTTGTGTTTCTTCACAGATCTTGATGAGATAGTTATAAATAAATACCAAATAGCTATAAATAAATTTGGTGACTTAGAATTTAAGTGATTTGCTTACAAAACTGAATTTCGATATCGATCTCAAAGTCGATAGTCTTATAAAAATAATAAACGAAAATGAAGAAAGCCCTTGAAAAGAAATAACAAAAATATTGACTATCTTTAACTTGGATTTGACGTCAATTTTTGTGCTATTTTGTACGAAATTATATTTTTCGCAGTTTTGCTGCAGTTTTCTAGTTTTGTCAAACTCTTCTGCTTGGACGCAGCTGTTGATTTGCTGCGTTGACATCGCTTTTAATTTATAATGCAATCGTGCGGATTGTCGCCTTTTGGGCCTGTGTGACACCCAATGCATGTGTGTATGTAAATGGATATGGGGAATATGGCTAAGCACGCGTGTTGTGTCGCCGTCTGCCGTGCTGTTGTCTTCTGTGTTTGTTCTCACGAGATTTACAACGTGACAGCGCACAAGGCGAGGCAGTTGTCCCTGCAGGTTGACCCAGGCGCAACTGCCACCTGCCACCTGGCAACTGGCAACTGGCAACTGGCAACTGGTGCCGCACAGTGCCTTGGGTAATGTCATCGACGGCGCTCGCAACACGTGCCAAGGACACTGATTTATATGTTTTGCATTTTTGTTTTATTAGCGTTCCGTATCTTTCATCCCTTGCCATGGCAACGTGCGTGGCATTAATGAGCCGCCACAATACAGATCCCAATACCAATCGTAATGCTAGGCCCAGGCCCAAAACTATGGCACTACAAGTTGTATTAAGGGTCCATTTTAAAGCGGACGCCGACTGCGCAAATTAAAATTGGCATGAAATAGTCATAAATTGCGCAATGGCGCATTCAAATTTTCCAGCATCAATTTAAAGTCAGCTTCATTTGAATTTTCAACAAGCAGACAAAGCTGCGGGGGGAGCAGCTCGTGCAGATAAATGTATGGAGCCGTCCATAAACCCAACAGCTGTGGCCGTCTCATGGGCGGATGTTGCATGCAACTGCGACGGAAATGGCTGCGCATATCCAGGGGCAACCCAATAGTTTGCGGTGCTTTGAATGCGTCGCATTTGCGATTCACGGAATGAATGGATTTCTATGAGTTCCTGAAATCACATTTACCTCCAATATAGCTAAACGAGTTCCAGCAAACGCTTTTGACTGCATTCGGCGTGAAAACTGTTTGGTGAAAATGTTTGTCCACATCTGTACAATTAGGTATTGGTTTGATGTTTGTAATTTTTTGTAACGCTAGAGAGAATCAAAAACTTTAAGGTAATACAATGAAACGAACTGCACGAAAATTAATATTAAAAAAATAGAAATATATGTCGTTAGTTTATTTTAGTTTTATCATTTTGTACATATTTATAAATCAAATTATTACTCAATTTGGTGAAGATACATGTGCATTAGATTTTGATTCCCAATAGTGCTAATCTTTATTATCTGAAGAGTCGGAGAGAGTGGTTGGAGAAGTAACTGTTGTTGAGTCTGTTAATGTTGTCAGAATAGTCGTTAATTCTGTAATATCTTCTGCAGCAGTAGTAACAGGTATTATTGTAGTTAATGGTTTTTTCATAGTAGTAGTTAAAGCTGAAGGCTTTGACTTCGAAGTAGTTGAAGACACTTTTGTAGTAGTTGTTGTAGAAGACTCTGTTGTGGTTGGTCTTGTTGATGGTCTCACGGTTGAATCTTGTTTCGAAATCAATCTGATCGCCTCTAAAATCCAGTCGCGTTGCACAGCCACATTGGCAAAAACAGTGGGACCAAAGCACATAAACTTTCCAAAAGAAACAACGCCCACAAGTTCTCTATTGACAACGAGCGGACCACCAGAGTCGCCATTGCAAGCGCCTTTCTTCCAATCAAAGGCGCAGACCATATCGTTAGTTATTAACCCAAAGTTGATTTTCCAGCATAGTTTGTGGCTCATAATTCGAAGTCGTACGCTTTGCAATTGCGTTGGTGGCGCAGCCAGTTTTTTACTGAATCCCCAACCGGTTACTGTTGCGAAAGTTTTTCTGCTAGGTGTTGTCTGGGCCAGGGCTATAGGCTTTACGCTTTTTCCAAATGTGAGGGGCTGACTCAGGCGTATTACGGCTATATCATTTGCATACGATGGTCTGTTAAAGTATTCATGGCTGAGAGTTCTGGTTACCCCGACCAAGGTACCACCCGAGTTATGGTACGTAGAGCCAACTCGGACTCTTAGATCCTTAGGGAGCCTATTTGCAACACAGTGTGCAGCAGTAACAATGATTTCTTTGCTGTAGATAGAGCCCCCGCAGACGTGCTTTCCAAGATATTGCAGGGAGATCTGCCAGGGTGCGTTCTCGATGACTTCATTCGACCCACCAACAATGCGATTGCTCGTAAAGGTTCCATTGAAAGCAGGCTCCTGGTGGGCAGCCACTAGAGCGATTGTCAAAAGCAGCAGAAAACACTTGAGACACATTTTTCACACTGTGTTTAAAGATTTTTTTCTGACATACTGACAAGACCATTCGCTTTTATAGGCAAAAAACCATTGACGCACTGGTAATATATCATTGCACTCTACTGGCATTTTAATAGAATTTAGTTATCGAAAGCTCTAAAAGTAGTCAGACTTATCTTAGACTGTTCATATTTTACATATTTCTCGTTTAGGGCTATCAACTTTATGGTTTTTAGATATGGAAACCACTCATTTGGTTGCTTACTTAAAAATGTTTCAGAATAAGCCGCGAAAATAAATTTATTTTGTATTTCCTTATGAGCATATTATTATTTGCACAGGTAAGACTTCTCAGTATCATTGCAGATTTAACGATTTAACGGCTTAAGATTTATTTAGAGTATATTTTGTTATCGTTTCTTTTTATCGAAGAGAAAAGCTGATGAAAACGTTTTTCAGAACGTCGTCTTATGAGGTGGTCTGTATGTTGCGGTCATATCTTTATCAACAAGCAGCCAACTTCGCCATCAGCCATCGAACAAAGCCAACAATCCGCGGCGCGCTTTTCATTTCAATTTGCCAGCAAAGGCCTTTGGGCGATAGAGCGATGGCAGAAGGCAAAAGATTTGTGGACAGATTGGCCCGCCTGGCTATGAGGAGGAATTCGGGCATTTTAGCCAATTTAGTGGCTTTAGATGCGAATGCACATCTGTAGCAGCTGCTGACGCCGCCTTCATTCAATTTTTGCCATGCCCACTTAAGCATTTTGAATGCCAAGTGCATTGGATGATGCTTCGCTGGCTCTTGGTCTGGTTTAATTGGGCGCACGCAAAGCGATGGGATTCACCCCGCCAGCTCGGACCTGCATAGGCGTCAACTTGACGAAAGCACCTGCAGAATTAGCTCAATCGGCAGCTGGCCTCCTGCCAAACTTGACACCGGACTACGGCCGGGGTCAAATGCACATTGCCACCTAGAAGAGCAGTTGACCCTACGGCCATTAGATACATGGCTGATTGCAATGTGTGGATTGAAAAACGTTTTAATTTTAGTCCCTGGACCAGGTTTGGGGGCCACGTGCCGGGAATTTTGCGATACTCCTTGAAATTTGAGTCACATCATCTGCAGCCCCAGGGACTGAACGTGAAGAGGTTTTGGGGCTTGGCGTTCACATGCATACCGAATTGGCTTAATTCAATAAAATCTTCAACAAAGTTGCTTATCCGCATGTGAATGGCGCGAGCGGGTTTGTTGGAGAGGGCAGGAGCCCAGCCAGTTATGAGTCAGCGGCATTTTTCACTAGCATTTGAAATTGCTTTTGTGCGCCTCACAGTCGATAGTAGGGGGCATGGCGGCAACATCAGCCACGGGCCATTTTTCAGTCTGTTGTTCACAAGTCTGGAAAGTAATTCTATTAAAAACTCACAGCAACAACAACAACAGCCACGACATCACCAACAACACAACAATAAGTAATAATAATAACAAATGCGACGTGGAGTCGATAACATTTTTAGCTTTATAAACAAATTTGTTGGAGCTCAGGGCTTGGCAAATATGATATTCCATTAATTTGATGGACGCTCGATGTTTTTTATGCGTTTCAGCAAAAATTCACATTTCAAGTGCACCCACGAGGCGTATGATTAATGCAGCTTGCATTTTTTTTTGACCAGTCGCAAAGTCAGCAACCAGCGATCGAATAAAGCTCTATATACTTACGCCCACTACCAAGAAAATGACAGATGACAATGAAAAACACAAGAATAACATGAAATGTAAAAAAATTGTGAGTTGAATGACTATCATGTTTGATATATAAGGGATACACCATTGTAGCGGAGAGCGGATTTTAAATGTTATCTATGAATAAGTATTTATAAATTTAAAGTTTTAAGGGATGCAAAAGCAAACACTATTTTATGTAAATCTTATAAAATAAGTTTGAAACTGATTGGACAAAATTTGAGAACATCCCGAGACAACCCCTGACCCAACTATTTCCTATATGACTTTATTTTATGAAACGCTGAAAACACGTTCTAAAAGAGATATTTGTTTTGTTGCCTATTTGAATTGGTGTACAGGGTATCTCTTAGATGTGCGTTGTACTTTTACAAATTAATTGTGTTTCAATAAATGTTTTCTTTTTGCAAAGTAGGAGCCACCCATGATTGCTTGCACGGTAATGAGGAAATAAGTTTGGGTCAAACTTTTGTTTTTAATTATATGCAAATTGCAGAGAACTTTGAGACTATTGCGAAAGGGTTCGGGTTGCTCAGTTTTTCGTTACCGTTAGCAACTTAAAAAGCGGACGAAGAAAATTATTGTGCTCACGAATCAACACAGAAATTTGTTTACACCCACGTTCATCAAACTATATACCAGGTTCCCGCGAAAGGAAAGGGAATGTTGCCATTTGTGCTATACTTAATTGCGTCCCAATGGAGCACATTTGGAGAACTGCTATACAACAAGCAGGTGTAGAAAAATATGATGGAAATGAGTTTCCCTTCAGTATTTTTCTTTCCATGATAGTAACAACAACAAGCCAAAGAGTTGACCAGCTGTCTGTGGGCAGAAGAGCAGGCGCTTTTTTGCTGAAGAAAACAAGTTTGGTAATAAGGTAATATTTTGCGATGCTTGGTTCTGCCTTGAAATTTTTGTGTTTAAATAAAAAATATTTTTGTAAGCAAAGTTAAGGAAAACATGCTCCGCATAAAGAGCTTACTGCATTGCGCACGAATTATGTGATCTTATAGATTAGGAACATTACCCATTTTTCATCCGTCGAAAATTTCAAGTTTAGAAGTCACATTTTATTGCGAGGTATTTTATAATATTATTAAATTAGCATCCATGTGATATTATTATTCGTTAAGTTATCTTGGCAAGTTACTCAGACAAACATTAACCCGGACATTCGCGATTAGATTACTCTTCCTTCTTATTGGTCTATAAACGCGCTATGGAATATATATTATTTAATTGATAACAGAAACAATTTTAGCTCAACTTTAACCCAAGCGTCTGATAAGAAACTACATCATTTAATGTATAAGTTTTCATTTTGCAGTACGTGCTTGAATAAATTGCAGTTGCAAATTGGCTGTATGGCACGCAGTTGGCGAGTTTCGGATTGTTTACACAAAATGTACATTTACCCAAAACTATTGTTCATATTATTTGTAACGTCAAAGCGAGATACTAAAGGATTCCGTAAGTTTTCAAATTAATTTAAACCGTTAACTGGATCTATGCTTGTTAACTTGTGAATTAATATATTTCATCATTGTGCTGTCTGAAAGTCATAGTCAAGCCGCTTTTGCAATATGCTGACTCTGTTCAGTCGCAAGAAAATAAGTTCAGCGAACTAATTGATAAGATTCGACGCCTCAAGGCTTCTATTAAAATTGTAAAGAGCCAACGCGAGTTAAGTAATGAACACACAAAAAATTGCTTAACCAATAATGTGTTGAAAGCCTCCAATAAGGCCCTAGCGGATAAAATCCAAGATATGATATCTGGAAACAAAAATAACGAAGCTCATTTAAACACGCAGCTGAGGAACGCAAATTCAGAAACTTTGGAACTTAAAGATCAAGACAAAGCAAATTTAGCCAAAATTAAGGAACTAGAAAAGTCCATAATAAAAAAGAACCCAGAAAGCATACAAAATTTGAATTCAAGCTGTATTGGTAAGCTGTCAAATATATATGACATAAAAGTCCCTGGCACGATGTCTACCACGGGCAAGGCCGAATAATACTCGCTGGTATTTTATATATATAATAGGTCGAAAATGCGTTTTTGTATTAATATAGCATTGTGTATTCTAAGTATTCAAATATTTTTCATATATATCAACGGTTGTAAACAGTTTATGTATTTATAGTCAGCGCATGTTCAACATTCTGCTTGCAATTGGCCTCCTTTCCGGTTACACCAAACAAGGAAAACCGCCTGCCAAATTGGTAATTCATTTTTTTTGCACCGCACCAATGCAGCTGCCACTTTTTATTATGCTCATCAAAAGTATATAATTCAATTTTTCCAATCGAACAAATCGCTGCACGATGTGAGTAAAAATGAACCAAAAAACCGATAAAAAAAATTGAAATGAATATTGCGCATACGTTAAATAAATGGATGGCCATAAGCGCCCTCTGCCCAAGCTCGCGTATTACCTCGTAGCCCACGCCCTATCAAAATCAGCTCTTCTATAGAGTACAGCTAGCGATGAGCAGCACTTTTCTGATTCAACACGACACGAACCTTACTGAAAGATATGTTAAAAAAAAAAGAAAAATTGTCATTAGTATTGATTGCTTCGTAACAGGGAAAATGATCGATGATTATCGCGCAATGGGAGCATCTTCTGCCCCTTTTACCCATTTTGAATGGGTTCAGAGTATTATAAATTGGAATTCCGACTACGAAACTGTTCTGTTTATAACTGGCTTGCAGCCTTGACAGTATGTAATCACATTACAGTAGATATTGTGCGTTTTCGTGACACTAAATAGTACACGAAATGCGCCCATCGCTGGCATAGGGAAAATATCCATTGCGTTCCGTACTCGGTCATAAATCATGTCATTGCATTGTGCGGGTAGCAAGTTCTTGGGCTAGGTTCTGGTCCTGGGTTTGGTTAGCCTGGCCACAAAAGGAGTTTTGGCAAGTTTTATGCAGTCGATGGCAGCGTTTCGATATTTGGCAGTCGGCATTTATCATACGCAATGTGTGATTGCCACATGCTGTGGCAGCTGCTGCAGCTGTTGCAACTGCAGGACCACGGAGCTTGTCTTTAATTGTTGGCAATTTCGGAATGTTGACATTTATTAAAACAATAAACAAATTTGCACACACATTTTCGGCTATCCAAAAATTTTAGCATTTCATATGCAGCGCCATTTCTCATGCAGCCAAAATTGCCAGAAGCAACAGCCAGAGAGTCACATCACCCCGTCTCAGGACTGGCAACATGATAGAACATAAACATGAGGCTCACGTACAATACATAAATATTTTAATTCAGCTGCATTTTGTTGATAGTTTTATGTTGCGTCGCTTTTCGGGCTCTGCCCACTTCCTCGGGGCGCAACTGGAAATTTGCCTCAGCTGCTGTCATGCAACTCAGCTTTCTCGTACAAGCTGGATGAAATGTGGGAATGATAAATGCCCATCTCGTATTTCAATTTATTTTACAATTTCCTAAGCTGGCAGCAAGAAATGAATACATTTTTGACACTCTTAGCTTGTGAAGTATTTGAAATTTATTTAAATGATAAAGTTTATGCACAGCATACTGATGTATTTAAATACACATTTGCAAAAACTATGAATCTAGATAATTCAGCAAAATAATTCATAAATTTAGATGCTCGTTGAGTTAATTAATTTATTCGGTTGCTATACCCCAAACCCATTCAAAATCGGTAAAAGGAAAGGTACTATGATTTATTGCAATTTATGTAACGTACAATAGGTTGTTTCTTGATACCATATTCTTGGTTAGCTATGCAAGCGGATCTAGTCATGTTTGTCTGTCCAAATATATTTTAGTATAACAACCCCAGAGTGAGTTTGCCCCCTCTATTATACGTATAATGTCAATAAATTTCGATTTACAGATTTGGTTTTATAACCAAACGAATCCTGCTGGCATTGGCTTTTAGTGATTGATCTAACCTCCATATAAATCTAAAGTACTTTGGCAACTTGAATTGTAAAAACATTTGATCGTCCAGTGATAGCAGTCTAAAAACCGAATAGTTCAGTTCGAAAACGTTAAGGACATTTAAAACTTTTCGACCAACAACAAAAAAGATTGTTTATGTGCTTAGAGCTATGTTCTCCATTCGCACATGACCAGAAAAATCATTCGAGCCGTTTTCCATCGACTTTTTAAAGAAAAAAAGCTGCCGATAAAAAAAAACTACAATTTTCATGTGCCATGTACTGTGTTTTTCATAGCTTACTTTTTGGAGTGACGCGGAGTATTTTTGGAAATTGCATTTACGGCATGTGAGCTGAAGAACTGGGTAGACATGGAGAGAGGGAAGCTTGTGAGTGAGTGGGCTGGCTGTGTGTTGCCATATTTTTGCCCCTTTGGGCCATAAAAGCTAAAATGTTTGGCAGCTCAAATGAACGCAGCAAGAAGCGAATGCGGCAAAAGTGGATTACCAACTTCGGCGGCGGCTGCTACTGTAGCTGCAGCTACCACACTATCTACACCTGCCCCCTTGGCCAGTGTAGCCACTGGAAAAAGGTGTTGCAGCTCTGGCTCCCATTTGCTGTTTGCCTGAGCCTTTGAAAGGTGCCTGAGCCTGGGCGTGGACGTGGGCGTGGGCGTTGCATGACCTGAACCGAATGGCCCTCTTTGTCTATTCAATTGAGCTGGTTAACAAGTGCAGCTACGGGCTACGGGAGACCGGGAGACCGGGCCAGCTATCAGCTCGATATCCGGCTCGAATACCCGTCTGCAGCTAAGTGACTGGCCCCGTTTTATTGGCTTTGAGTTCTGATGCAATAAACTTGCGTAAAAGTGCGCGTTCCGTCAATCGGTGTACGTTTCTGTTTTTGCTTTCGTTATACGGCGGAATGGTTGTGGAAAAGTGCTTTTGAACCTGGTGTGGACCTTACATTTTTTCTGTTATATGTTGAATATACTAATATTAGAAAATATGATCTTAATGGTTTGTTATTAATGATATCACCTTTTACTGCTGTCGTCAGCATTTTACTTTCAACCTTATATGCTTGCTATATCCTTCCTCCTAATCGATTAAGGGATTTAAGGGTAATATTTTATAATGCATATCTAAAGCGAGCCGCATTTAAAACTAATGTGATGGAAAATATTTACTAGATGCAGCTTACCTCGACACTCTTAACGTTGTGGAAGCAATGCAAATCCTGTTAATCCTGAAATGCAGGTATATTCGTTGAACAAAATTACTTTTATAGAATTATCATATAACATAGCTTTGAATTTCTGTTCAATTTGCTATTTATATTTGCAAAATACGTGTTCTTCTCATGTCACCCAATTTCAGTCATGTATTAAAAAATAAATACAATGGAAATTCTGTGCAGTTAGCTTTAATTGTTTGGCATTTTCAATGCCTGAACAGACCGTAGAACTCCCGTACAATTGCCGTACATATGCAATCGAGTGCATCCGGCAACAGATGCTGCGGTTGTCATTAAAACGCAGCACAAAAACGAAATGTTTTCCGAAAGTATATATACATATATATATGCATTTCTATTTATATTTATACGTTTACCCGTACAATACATAAATAAGCGAAAACCAAATTTGCAAAATTAATTAAATCGACATAAAGTAACGACGGTTTTGGTTTAACGCTTTGAATGTGGCATTCTGTGCCGCAAATATATTGTGAGTGCGAATTGAAACGTGTGTCCACCGATGCGAATCGCAATTGAGTCTTCGTAATGGGCGAGTTAAATCAAATGACTGACTTTAAGCTGAAACGATTGCCGAACTGTCAAAGTAAATGTCCAAATAATCAATAATAATCAATCAATAGTCAAATGATTAACATAGTGAACAATACAATCACAAAATTAATACTTGAGGATAAATTATGATTTCTGTTCGAAAAATTGTAAAAAAAGTTTTGAAATGAATTTTCGGATATTTTTGAATTAGCAATACCCGAAGCTTCACTCATTCAACAAATAACCCTTATCTATCATTCAAAAAAAGGCTAGATTTTGCGGTAAGTGTGCAAAACGTATTCCATAAAACCACAAGATCCATTGATGAAGCTTGAATTTCCATTAAGAAACGACCCACACACGAATCTTTGACTGTCTTTTGCACCAAGCAGGGATGGATATTCTCAGAAGTGTTCAACACGTATTAAATGAATTTGAGAGAAGCTTAGAAAATATATTGAATGTCGTTTTATACAACCGTTTTTCCCCATCAGTGAGAACTTCGGCTTCCCAGCTCCTAAAACGGAATGCACATTGCTCATTAGACAGAGGAACGTAATACTATATATTTAGAAAACTGAAAAGCATTTGAACATTTTAGACAGGATAACAGCGTTTTTCATGGTTATTTAATCCTTGACAAGAACACGAAAATAAATGTTTGTTGATTTGCAATCACAGAACTGTTTGCAACTTGGACTGTCGCTAGTTTCCCTTCTGCTGACAAATAATTTATGTTCGCAAGTGGCCTCCAACATCTGAAACTGACTTTACGTCACTTTACTTCACTCAATTGGCAATTAGTGTCGCCCAGCTGTGGCTGCCACATCGGAGTCGTGGAAAGAAACGGCAACTCATTAATAACCGTAGCGAGGCAATGCTAATGCAAATGTTCATACATCACTCATACGTCATGTGGGTTAATCCAATCATTATGTGGCTGCCAGTGACTGATATCCGAGTTGGATGAGCAACTGACAGCCTCTCGTCATTTGGAGTCTGTGAAATATCTAATCTGGATATCAATCAAAACGATAATACCCTTGCCTAAATATGGGATACATTATTAGCTTCAGTCACAAACAAAAGGCTTATAAAGATAATTCATCCTATCAAAGGCTAATTAAGAAATTGTCAATGAAAATCCAGAAAAAATTGAAAAAATTCCATAAAATTTCTAGTACTTTTGTAAGCTCCGCAAGATTTTTTTCTACTGAGTTTCTTGAAATAATATGAAAACTGAGTAATTTTAAATGTATGTGGCGGTTCCTAAACTCTTTGCATTTCACAACTGATTCATCTTATTTCATTATTATATTTATTATCCGAGACTCCTGTCTGAACTTGACAAAACTTGCTTGTGTTTCGCATT